GGTGTGTACGTAGTTTTTTTTTTATCTTTTTCCCCCCTTTCTCCCCCCCCCCCCCCACACACACACACACCCATTATCACAGATAATTGACAGGTTGCTGTAGATTAAACATGATACTTATTTGGGATTACCAGATTTTTGGACTTTTGCCAATCATCCATTATTCTGAAGAACACAATGTTTTGGAAACTGGATCTGTTTCTATTGTCAGTTGAGGGAGTGGGAGACACCTGCTCTGTTGGGTCCATTAGAAACTGCTGACTTCAATCACTGGATGATGGATGAAGTCCAAAATTTTAGTAATCCCGAGTGTTACTATCGTCTGAATCCTTTAGAATCTCATGATATTTGTTAGTTCACATATACTCTTACTGAAATGAAGACTAGTAACAAATATTGAATGGAAAACCAGCCTTCAACAGTGTGTTACAGTTTTTCCACGTAACACAACATTTTGGGTTTCGAGCTGACAGTAGAGCTGTTGGATTTCTGCCAATGCTTTGATCATGTTGTTGCAGGGAATGGAGTGGAGAATGCCTTTGCCTTCACACCACATGTTCTCACTCTCTCACTGCACAAGCATGAACCAGGTTTCTATCCTGGCACTGGGGGCCTGCTGGATGTGGGCTTGGGCCGGGGTCGGTATTACTCTGTCAATGTGCCACTCAAGGATGGTGTCAGGGATGACAATTACTTCACCCTCTTTCACTGGTAATAGTGTAGTTATTTATTTATTTATTTATGTTTTATGTAATGATTCTATTGTTATCTGAGCTTATAGTGTCAGATGATAGGATGTTGGTAAATAATGAATGGGAAAGGATTTGGAAGAAAGTGCTCTTGGTCTAATTTGAGGTAATATCCTGACATTATCCTGGAGGGACTGAGGAAAACTGCGAGAAATCTGTCAGGATAGCTAATGTTCCAGTCAAGATTTGAACCACTCACATATCAGACTCATTACCAGTGAAACTCGACTCACTTGATTCCCTGGTAATGCTCTTTTGCTCGTACTTTTGTCTGCCAATATTATGTTCTTATATGGAAATAAATAAATAAATATTATTATTGATAAATATTGTAATGTGTCTGGAGCAGATACCTCCATGGAAACGCAATAACAATGAACCGTTGCGTATAAAGTGCTGAAACAATGAACGCGTTTCCCCGGAGATGAACAACAGAAGGCCATTGAGTACCATCGGATGAGACGAAACACGTTACCGCCGTAATCTATAGAGATTGTTCCCGAAGCAACGGATTGCCGAACACGCGGGATCGAACCTTGGTGAGAGGTGTCCTCGACTGAGTCCGCATGACCCCTATATAAGCAGAGCTTAGGACATGTACTAGGTTATTGTTAGAGAACCGAGAGTCAAGCATCGAGGCAGAAGCCAATTGATACTACAGCTGATAACGATTGTAAAGAGTGTAAGAGTGAATATTCAATAAAGATTAGCTGAATCCGAGACCCATGTGAATTTATTTGTCGTGTGACATACCCAACATGTGACAATATTAATATAGTGTTTAAGTAATGTTATTTTAATATGTTAATTCTTATAGTAATTTTAACGGAACTAAAGAACAAACCACAATATGCAGAGTGTAACTGAATGGTGCAGACAAACTTTGGGCACAAGTTCCTCATACCAAAACATGAAAATATGTCCATATCAACATGTGTCTGGAAATGTTTAATTTCTGAGTTATAGCTGAAAGAGAACATTTACAATTAAGTGTTCAGAATGTCCTCCATGGGATTTAATGCACACCTTGACACGTCTCATCATGGACTGCCACATTCATTCATAGATGCCGGGGTAGTTGCAGATAGATTCTAAAGGGTTCTGACAATGGTGGACGACACACAGAATTACTTGGGTTTTGGACTTTTTCCATCATCTAGAATTCTAGATAATAGAGGACATGACGTTTTGGAAACTGGATCTGTTTCTGTCTTCAGGTGTGAAAGGAGGACACCTACTCAGTTGGGCTCCTTAGAAAGATCTAATCTCAATCACTGTCCATAACATGGAAGCATTTTATGCCATCACAGCATCCACATTTCTTTGGGATAGCCATAGTAGAACTCCAATTTACAGTCCCTTTGGGTGGCATTTCATTCAAATGCTAAATTAAGGAATATCCTTATAATCGAACACTGTTATTATTAACTTTGGATCACTGAAATTCAACACTAAATAACACTAATGAAGGGTCCGCTGTATATTCACTTCTCTGATCACATATGTAAGTACAGAAGTATATATCACTGTCATATTAACCTTCAGTGTAAAAGTGCATTCACTGTATGTCACAAAACAGGTAATTTTATTGATAATCCTTTGGACTCATGTTCAGAGGGTTCTCAGTTCAGATTTCAGCCTGAACACTGGCTAACTGACTCCTGTTTTTGATGGTTCTCCTCCATTCCTATAAGCACATACCAGGATGTGCTGCCTTCCAAATTTTTTCCATTCATTGTTTGTCTCTTGTCATACAATTTAACGCTATATAGTGTAGCTGCTGACATCACTGTAAAATAACCCACCAGTACTGCATGTCTCTCTTGGTGTCAGTAGATCCAGCATCAGAGAGTCAAGAAAGTTGCTTGTTTTGTTAAATCAAAATACAGTAAAACTTGGTTATAGCAACATCGGTTTCTGCGACACCTTGTCTATTGCGTCAAATATTCAATGGTACGAACTAATTCCTCATAAAGCAACTGTTTTTATACCTTGCTTAGTACGACATGCACAAATGCATCAACCTCGTATGTAACGTCATTTTCATTCCTGAATTTCTCTGATATGGACATTGAACATAATTTAGAAAGTGTGTATTGGGCAAGTAACAGGAAACAGATGAAGATAACTGATTACTGTACTCGTATCTAGGTACAGTAAGGCACAACAATTGATGTAATCTACTGTAATTTGGTGAGTAGGCCTACCTTTAATATACAGTATTAGTGCGGTGTGTATTGTCAGTGAAAAGCGCTGTAATATGTCTTTGATATTACACATTTGGGCAATTCCACGTTAATGTTACGTTAGTCTGTACTTAACTACATATTTCACTAAAAAATGCAACATTTTAACTCGGTTTTTGGTAGATTTTTACGTGACTAACATAAGGCTACTGTGGAAGTGCCCATTTAGGTTACAACAACATTCGTTTATAACGACACTATTTTTAGGTCCCTTTAATGACGTTATAACCAAGTTCTACTGCAATATATTTTTATTTAGCATAGTGTAAGATTCATTCCTTATTAAACATTAAACTCATGATAACACCATAAATTAGAGGCCATGGTGATCATACTGCCTTGAACAGGTGAAAAATGTTTTTCAACTTGTAGGATACATTTTTGGAAATTAATCAAGTAACGTAATGTAGGATCTAAGATTCTTACAGTGTTGGAATGTTTATTATTCTTCTATGAACTTTAGCTGATGCTCCAATTAGTATAACATAATGCCATTTGTGTCTTAACAGCATAGCCAACAAGGTTTGGTGTACATTCCGCCCAGATGCCGTGGTTGTCCAGTGTGGGGCAGACTGCATCAATGGAGACCCTGCATGTGCCTTCAACCTCACACCTCGGGGTATTGGTCAATGCGTCGAGAAAGTTTTGGCATGGAACTTGCCAACTCTGTTTTTAGGTGGAGGTACAGTTCAGTTGTAATATTATATTTGAGCATCCTGTTGCTTTAGTTGGGCACTTTATATGCAAGGGCTATTCAGAAAGTAACCACTGTTTATTTTAGGCAACTAATGTAGGAGTGGGGGAGAGCTTGTGCATGCGAACCATGACTCATTGTCTTGTAAATCATGACATAATTGGCCACCTAATGTTTGTCCTTGTGTCTGCAGAGTGAGTTTTTATGTGTCCTGCTACTGATAATCCTGCTAGCTGTAAAATTTGTGTTGTTATCAGCATTCTTCACACTAACTACATGAGTTTTGTGGAAATCCATTGTGAGTTATGTACAGTTTATCGTCAAACTGTAATGAATGGAGGAAATATAAGGCACTGGTGTAGAATGTTCAAAGATATATGGACGAACAGATGTTCACAGCGAAGAGCGAAGTGGCCAGCCAGCCATCCATAGTGAGCTATGATCTTGTTCAGAGTATTAACCCAAAAATTTGTGAAAGACAGGGCTTCACAATTTCAGAACTTTTATATGAATTTCCACAAATTTCACATACTGTTCTCTACGAGATTATCACAGTTAGCCTAGGCTATTACAAGTTTTGTGCAAGATGGGTTCCAAAAATGCTCACGGGTGCACTCAAAATACAGAGAATGCTTCGGCTATGATTTTTTAGAGCAAGACCACAAAGATGGCAATTAATTTCTCAGTTACATCATAGAGTAACAGGTGATGAAACCTGGGTTTCATTTGTGGATTTTGAAACCAAAGAACAGTCAAAGCAGTGGATGCACGCATATTTACCAAACAAGCTGAAAAAGTTTAAATGGATGTTTGCCTGCCAGAAAGCTGATGGCAGCTGTTTTCTGGGACAGGAAAGGAGTGTTTATGAAATTAATGCATTAAGGGAACACAATAATGTCAGAAATGTGTTGTGAAACACATAAAAACTGTGTAGGGCCATTCAGAACAAAAGGTTCGGAATGCTGACATCTGGTGTAGTGCTCCTCCAAGACAATGTGCATCCACATACAGCTGCTTGTACTTGAGCATTTCAACTGTCAGTTGTTTGACCACCCTCCTTACAGCCCTGATCTTGCTGCAAGTGACTACCACCCGTTTACATACCTGAAGCACTGATTGAGATCACAACACTTCAGTAATAATGAGGAGTTGATGGAAGGTGTCAAAACATGGCTGAGCTAACAGGTGGCATACTTCTTTGACGAGGCATACAAAAACTTTTTCCCCAATATGACAGGTGGCTCAATTTTGGCAGTGGCTACATTGAAAAGTAACTGAAGTATGTACATGTTTTTTATATATAATAAATTCTTTTTTCTGTTAACAGCTCAGTGGAATAGCCCTCATACGTAATAAAGTCTTGTAAATGCAGCATTATGTATATTACGTTGATGATCAAATATGCCTGATGATGGCCTCATATGACCAAAACATTTTGTAAAATAATAGGAAAAGTATATTACATGGTGAAGAAAGCAGTCTTCTGGGATGTGGCGCCATGTAGATTGTGTTAACTGACATTTCAGAGGAACGTATCACCTCCATCTTCAGGGTAGAAGAAAAGAAATCCATGAGTGAACCAGCGTGAGCAGGTGCAACAGACCGAGTTCATCCGAAATGTCAGTTAACACAATATCTACACGGTGCCACATACCAGAAGACTACGTTCTTCATAGTCACTGCTGTGAAAACCTCAAATCTTATATATTACATGGTGTTTAACCAATAATGTCTGAAGTGCAGGATTTACAAGAATGTTATGTATACATATCACAGTTCAATTAGGAGCCAGGATAGCCCACTCAGTATAGCAGTAGATTATGGGTTGGATGGCTGGGGTTCAATTACTGGCAGGGGCAAGGGAACTTCCTATTCTCCACAGCATTCAGACAAGCTGTGGGGCCCATGCAGCCTCCAGAGTTAAGAATACTGGCACTACACCTCCACTCCACCATACATCTTCATGGTGTAGTGCTTAATTATTTAAGTACAGGGACATTTTTACCTTTATCACAATTCAGTGTTATTGAGAACCTGAATGTCTTGTGTGTTCCCTGCAAACATTACATATATGTGTGCATCTTCCAGGGGGCTACAACCTGCCAAATACAGCTCGTTGCTGGACTTATCTCACTTCCATCATAGTAGGTTTTCAGATTCCCGCTTCAATTCCAGACAGCAATGAAGTAAGTACCCAGAAGTTGAGACTGCAGTTATTTTAGATTTGACACCGTGTAGTTTAGTAAATGGGTTTCTCTGAACTTTTGCAACTTATCTGCCAAACTTTACGGTTGTCACATTGTATAGGACAATGATTGGGATACCCACTGTTGTTGGTACCTCAGATCTCACCTAGACATTGGTTTGCTCTATTTTGAATGTTTAACTGTTACACAGTTGAACAGTTTGTGAACTTCTGCCACCATCATGATGGCTTGTACTGCACACTTCCTTTGACGTAGTGATTGAGTGATAGTGATTGAGATTAACTCTTTCTAAGGGGCCCAACTGAGTAGGTTCTCAGGTTCTCACCTCAAGACGGAAACAGATCCAGTTTCTGAAATGTCATGTCCTCTATTACCTAGAATTTTGGACGATGGGAAAAGTCCAAAAATCCAGTAATTCTGTGTGTCATCCAACATCATCAGAACCCTTTAGCATCTATTGTATGTACTTTGTTTTGTATTGTTGCCTTTATGTTATAGTCTTTCCTTGTCTGTATCAGTGTAAGATCTGCTGCTACCAGGTGAATACCCAATTGCAGTATAATAATAATAATAAAGCAAGTAAATCTGACCCTGACTCTGACTCAGGCTTCAGTACGCGCTTTGAATGTCTCAGTTTAATTAGGTCTGTGGTATTGCATACTAGGGGCCGGTTAATCCTCTCTTTAGAATTGTGGAGGGCAAGGAACTGGTTCATTTTCAAAAGCCGAACCGGTTTCAGAGTGTAACATGACATTCATATTTTGACTGGTACAGTATGCCATGATGTTTTGCAGGATTTTATGTGCTACAGCCCTGACTTCGAGCTGGACATCATACCTGGCAACCGATCAGATCAGAATACTGCTGAGGATATGAAGCTGCTTGCGGAAACAGTATGCCGTGAGTAATACTGCATAAGTCAAGGAGGTTCATGTGACTCTGGCTCTGGTGGAGAGATATGTCCTTTTTGTGAATTGACAGATTTTTCATAAAATTCCAACTGTAAACGGACAGATGTACAGATGGGAGGAGTGCTCGTCTTTATGGTGTAATCCATTTATCACTCATTTAGTTGTGACAGGCCTAAATTTGTTGCTGACTCTTGCTGGGAAATTAATGTAAATTTTCATCACAAATCTCCATAGATGAGCCCCCCCAATGGAATTTAAGTTATTGCCTGGTGCAGTACTGTAGTTAATGAAGTGTACCATTGGACACTTGCTGTGCATTGTTGCTGTAGTGATTGTGAGGCTATAGCTTACCTAAGATATCACCACCTGGGTGAATTCTTATGGAACCAAGGGACTTTTATGATGCCCCCATAAATAAAGTCCTACATTTCATTTGATTAATAAAGGGTTAATCCAAAGGGGAAGCACAATAGATCATTGAAGGTTGCGGTACGAGGGCCGATTTTTATGGCCCACTACTCATACTCATTGTTGCTGTAGAAGGAGGCATGGTTCGTTTTTTGTGTTACTTAATGATACTCACTATCTCAGACTGAAGTACATTGACTGGTAGGATGGTAAATGGATGTTGAAACGGAAAGGATTTTTAATGAACTGTTTAGGACCTAGTTGAAACAGTATCCCAACATTTGCCCAGAGGGACAGATGAAAGCCATGAAAAACCTCATTCAGGATAGGTGAAGTCCTGGTCAAGATTTGAGCCAAGCAACTCCTGAATACATTTCAAGATACTAACCTAGCCAGTTACTTGGTTTTGCCTGATTAGTTCTATAGCTGACAGCGCCATTTCACTGAAGTGTCATAGCATCAGATGAGCTGAGGTGATAGTCATGAATGGTGGATAAGTCAAGATTTAGATGGCTGTCCTGTAACTCAGGTGGTTAGTGGCACTTGAGCAGTTTCTATTGCTCTTCAGTATTCTCCCAGTTTCCATTCCAGCTGTGCTCCCTGCTCATCTGTCTTGAGGGGCCTGTATGATGGGCCCTTTTTAGGAGGGCTGCAACACTGAGGGACTCTTGCATTATCCTACAATTAGAAGAAAGAAAGAACTTGGATGAAGATGGTTATGGGAGACTATTTGAAGACATGCTCTCAATATACAAGGATGAAGAAGACTATGATAACTCTGAGGTCGGCCAGTAACTAGGAACATCCTGAACACAAGCCAGGAGTGTTTCCTGCATGTTCACTGACCATAATTCATTGTCTTTATGAATTATTTCCTGTCTTTAAGCCAGTACATTCCAGTTACTTCTTCATGAACGCTTCTGTGGGATCCAGTTCAGTATTATTCTCTCTTGTATGTGCCAGTCTCCTTCTGTGAGGCTGTTGTAATGGATTGGTTATACCAGACTGAGTGTTGAATGAAATATGAATATTAGAGGGAATTGGAAATACTTGAATTAAATTTGTAAATAAAAGAATATCAGTGAAACTTATTACATCACATTTTAAAAATGCTGGAGTCCTCAGCTGCAACAGTAAGTTTACAAGTGAGTCAAGCAAGAATACTTGCTCATATTCAACCTGTGTAGAGTGTTACCACTGTACCAACCTGCTAGGTGTAGCAGGTGATGACATAGTGTTAGAAAATGGGCACAGTGGAGTGGCATGGTGCACAGTATACCATGGTTAATGGACATAATGAGTGCTGAAGAATGGAAATGTGAAGCATATAGGATTGAGGAAGTTGCTATGTAACATGCACAGGGCTTTTTTTTTTATTGCCTCCATACCGCTGTGAGTTACATCAGGTTGAATTTGTGTGGGATTAGGTGAAGCATCCACTATACTACAAGCCAGAAGGTCATGTTTTCGAGTCCTGATGATGTGGATTTCTTTCAATTGACCTAACCCTTCCAGCTGCGCTATGGCCCCGAGTTCAACTCAGCCTCTAACAGAAATGAGTATCAGGAATCTTCCGAGGGGGGGGGAGTAAATGGCGGCTGGCACATAATGCTGACAACCTTACTGCCATCTGTGAGTCGATTGTCTAGATAATGTGGGAGCCTCAATGTCTCAGAACCCTATGGGCCTCCATGACCTGTTATAGGGATAGCTTTAGATGAAGCATCATGCAAGCATGAATAACAAAGGCTTGAAAGCAAATGGAACGGAATGTTCTGATAGTCGGACTGTGGATGCTTTGCACAATTACATGCAGTATTTATAGAAGATCCAGTACAGCAAGCCTATCATTATCCAGTTATGCAACACTTTCTCAGACTACAAAACTTCAAGCAACAGGGAAGGTGATATGAAGAATCTGTGACCACTTCTGTTAGGGACAATGTGATATTGCCAGGAAAGGTGTATAAGGTGCGCTGATAATGTGTTTCTTGTACATTAGCAAACTCTGTGAACATACAGAATTTGGTTGAGCATCATTGGTGTATTTGTTTCAGCATTAAATTCATAGCTCCCATGGACCGTGTGCATTCTTGTGGCTGTTGTTCATTCAAAGCACAGCAGAAGTATGTGGCGTAAACAACAGTGTAAACAACACAGCAAGCCACGAACAGACACAGACAATACTAAGAATCTCCTTTCTCAAGATAGACAGGCAGCACAAGATCAGCCACCTCCAAGAAAGACAGTAGGATAATTGACATGAACCTGCATGGTTTATAAATTTTAATCTTAAACAACAAAGTTTTTAAAAAACTTTAAAAATTTTAATACTTGGAAGGCTGCTGTGACTGAAAAGTTGAACATTGTGTACATTGTCTATTTCAGACATTATATGTGTATGTATATAATTTAACACCTATTGTAATAGTAGTTTCCGGAAAAAGTATTGATGCCCTCTGAGGATGATCTGTAGGGATCGAAACATGTAAGGACGATGAGTTTTCAAGTGATAGAACTTAAATAGTCACACTGGACGGTGTTGTTTTGGTCTTTGTAATGTGGCAACAGTATTGCTGTAAGAACTACAGTCTTTTCTAGAATCTGGACAATTGATAGGAGTTGGTTTCGGAAACAACGCTAACTGTATCCTTTATTCTGCATCTGTTACAGAAAACCTTGATAATATTGCAGAAGGAAAGGAGTAGTTTTATAACACCTGGACATCTGCAACCAGCAGGAAGATTCTTATGACTTTATAAACATTGAAGCCTGACTTACATTGGATTATTGTCACATATGGGTTTAAAGCTAAGATTACTCATATTCCTTAGTGTTTACACTTTGAGGACCATAGCAGGTTGCCAGTCCTGCCAGTAGCTTCATGACTGTAAGTCCGTGCACCCGATTGATTTGAAAACTTCAGTGGATGGGATTTTTCAGAGAACAATTGGTACCAAATAATTGGCACTGGTCTAACAGCAATCTGAAGTTATGTATGTAGATCGTCCCTGGCGGATCAATCCTGTCTTCTGATCTGCCTACACTATTTACAGAATGACAAGCTTCCTATTAGTATATTATTATTATATATAGGGCAAAAGTATTAAAGATGAGCAGCGACACACGCACAGGGAGCCTGCACAGAATAATACATGAACGGTGCTGAAAACAAGAAACCGCCGCTGCAGCACATGTAGACACAGAGCGGGTGTCCCTGTGATTTAAAACTTTAAATTTTAAACTGGAATTATAAAATCAAATTGACGAGTGTATGTTGGTGAGATTTTAAATAAAACTGACAGGCTGGTGTTTTAGATTTTGGATTGTGTGCAGTGTGACAGCTATGTAGTGAAAAATACACCTGATAATGGCCAGTTATGGCCAAAGTGTAGAGGAAGAAAAGACAAAGAACTACAACCAAATAAATTGTTGCATTCACGGCAGCATTTGTATTATTACATATAGAAACTTCCTATTGTATTGACAGAATCCATCTTGAAATTACTGTCCTCTGAAATGAAATGCCAAGTAATGTGGTACATAGGTAGGTACCCTCATTTCAGAGGAATCTGCTGCCTGCATCTTCAGGGTAGAAGAGTGTGCCATGTGGTTAAGAATGGTCTTGCTGCAGAGGAGGAAGGACAGTCCAGGGTTGTGAGTGAATCAAAAGGAACCAGGGACTGTGCAAAGGGCAGAGGACAAGGAGGGAAATTTTAGAAACAGGAGGAAGAAGGTTGGGTAAATGAGTAAAAACACATTAAAATAAAGATAAATCAAAGAGGAGGTGCAGATATAGAGAGAAGGAAGTAGAAGGAAAGAAAAGAGGTGAGGAGGACCAGAAAAGGAAAGGAGACCCTGTAAAGGGCAGTTGTTACTGACCCTGGAAGAGCAGTTGCCTGTGGCTGGCAGTAGTCCAGGAAGTAGCAGTTGTCAGGATCTTAAACCCAGCTTGACTTCGGAGATTTTTTGTTATAACCACAAAATGAGATGCCTTAAGTGAAGTCCAGCACTTCGCTGCAACACTTGTAGTGGACAGTTTTAGAGTTGCTGGCGATTTTCAACCAGTTTCATTTATGTGTTAACGCAGATGACAATTTTAAAGTAATTTGGTGAGTCACATGTTTCTATGTAACATCATTTTTTATTTCAATAAACTGATTTGTTGTTCAGTTATGTGAAGTATAATGTATTAAAAGTGCAGTAAACCCTCCTTATCACAGACCCAGATGTAATGGACAGTATCTGACAGGGCAAGAGACTATGCATTAGCAGCTTCAACTCAAGAGGATTTTTGGTTTTGTGGTTAGAAAGAACTCCAGTGTAAAAACCTTTATGTAATCACACTGTGTTTCTGTGTTTAGTGTGTATATTGGCTATATATCCTGAGGTGTAATTCCATGAATTCCACGGTTATAGTGGACATAGGTGATAATGCACACTGTCCCCCCCTCCCACTACTGCATAATAATAAGGGTTTATTGTCTTCTGGGATGTGACGTCATATTGAAAGGGGGAAGTTTGATCTTTCAGAGGAATATGCTGCTTCCATCTTCAGGCTCAAAGAAAAATCTAAAATATGTAAGCCAAGCTAGAAAGCAGCAATCTGCTTGCTGTTTGTTTCTCACTCACTTCCATATCGGCATACTTTTCAACCCCAAAGATTGAGGTAATATGTTCTTCCGTAACATTGGTGAACTTATACTTGTCTGCATAGCATCACATCCCAGAAGATAGTACTTTTCATAGTCACAGCTGTGATAACCTCATTTTTTTTCTTTGTTAAGATATAAAATTCTTGAGCTCATTTGTTAACCCAACAGTTGTGTAGGCAGTTTTTCAGAATCTGTCAGTTTTCCAAATTCAACCTGTGTTAAGTTGTACAGAAAGTCTGTGTCACAACATTGAGGGTGACAACCCCAGAATGGCTTTGTGGTTCCTGCCAGTTGATTGCTGTTCCCATTACCCATATGCATTCTGTAGAACTGCTCAACCAGAACCAAATTCGCTTTGTCAGTATTTGCTCATAAGTTCAAGAATGTGGTCATAAACCAAGGTCTTAGCATCCTTCCCCCACAAGAAGTCCAGGTGGTTAAATTGCTTTAGTGGCACCCTGAAGGCGCCAACAGGATTTGGGAGTTGTTTGAATAACTTCATGATATCCTGCAAACAGAAAGCGCTGCCTCAATGAAATGGTTCCAGAGCCATTTGCAACTCAATACCTCTTCCTCCATTTCAGTGTATGGTGTAGGTCCCTTATATTTGTTATCCAAATCTAGAACACTCCAGTGGGAATACTTCACCAAACAGGTTGGTCTGGAGTTCTGTTTGGGATGTACTTCATTCAAATCTTGTCTGAGACATTGGCAATCCTCACTGAGATTTTCATGGTCATCCTCAGTCTTTTCAGGAACCAGGGTAGATCAGTCTGTATTGCGACCGGCCATGACCTGAACAACCTAGGGATTCAGGTTCGATTGCTGGGAGGGGCAGTAGATATTCTCTTCTCCACAGATCTGGGACTGACCTGAACAATGTAGGGATTCAGGTTGGATTGCCAGGAGAGAGAATAGATTTTTCTTTTCCGCAGATCTGGAACCTACCTGGGCCTCTATCTAATGTATGAAAGTAAAGTTGACCCCATGCTTAACTTGTTAAGCATTATGCCATGAAGACATATGGAGGAATGGATATATAGATCCATGTATTCTTGACATTGGCATTAGTTGGAGGTGAGTGGTCAGCTTCACACCCCAACAGTGGCGGCTCATAGCTAAAATTAGTGGGGGTGCTGCTCCAGAAGCGCACAGTTCCATACAGAGATTTGGCTACTGACATTAAGCTTAAGGATTATATATTGTATTGTACAAGTATAAAGAAAGAATTAAAGAAAAAAGTACTCATTATATAAATGTTATCGATAATATCATGTGGAAATTGGGGGTGCTGCAGTTCCGCAGTGCCTATACATGGGCCGCCCCTGCACCCCAGCTGCTTTACTCCCAATGCCCATTACGTAGGAGACCAGAAGAGCCCCAGAACTGGTCTGGAGGACATGGAGAGGAGAGATAACTTGCCCCTACTGGGACTTGAACTCCTACCCCTCAGCCGCCAAGCCCATAGCTAGTCACTATACTGACTACGCTATCCTGGCTGTAATGTATACCAGGGCAAGGCAGCTGGTATGTCAAGCTGACCGCTCATCTCCACTAGTGACAACTTTAAGACCGCATGGATCCATAAATTCACTCCCCCATACATCATCATGGTGCAGTGTATAATTAATTAAGTACAGAGACAAAATTACCTTTACTGTGTTTTTTCGGTTTCCTTTCAAACCATTTCCGTCATTCTACCATACGATGTTACACGCTTTAGATACTAAAAGCCCTGTAAAATAATCCACAAGCCAGACAAACTGCACCACTGCAAGAGAGTGGCAACATACATGGAAGTTACAATCACACATCACACCTCTCAAGAACATAAATCACGAGGTTTTGTTTGCACTGCAGAATGACTCTAACAAGGGCTTTTCCATAAAGAAAACGTACAGGAAAACCTCTAGAGGCGGGGTTTGTTAGCTTACTGCAAAGAAGATGGAGACTGTCAAGGTGTAATAGTGTAGCCGGACTGAACCTGTACTATTAGTTTGCAGATTATTATGAGTATACTTATTTTGCGCTACTCTGTATTAATATTTTGTATGCATGCTTATTTTTTCAGCTTTTTTTTTTAAAAATATGCAGAAAGGGCCAGATGTCTGGGTTCCTTCTCTCACTTCTGTTCACATTCATGCACACACAGCAGAGTAAGAATTATAACACGATAACTTTTCAAAGTACAGTCCAATTTAAGGCACACTTACCGTATGGGAAGAAAGGGAGTCATGGTCACTGTAGTGCAGAGAAATGGGCGCCTTCAAATTGTCCAGTTTGTAGGCGGGGGGAGTCTCTTTGCCATAGAGTCGGCTGTTCTCGTATGGTCCGAAATCAAACTGGCAGAACCTCTCTTTATGATGGGGCATGAAGTCACAGGTCCAGCAAGGAAACACGTATTTTAGTTTTTTAGATATTAGACAAGATTCATTTTAGCAAGTATGAAACATTATTTCATCAGTAAAACTATTTATATAAATTAGGTGGAACTTTGCATTACCCCAGAACCCTAACCTTATAACTAAGTATTTACCATTGTTTTCACAAACTTACTGCTTCAAATCGTTAACTGTAACCTTGACTAACTCTTATCCAGTATAGTTCAAACCTCCTTTGGATTTTTGGAGAACTGGGACGTTTCATAAACGAAAATATGATGATACATGCCCCACTTCCCATCAACACATGTAGTACCTAGGTTGTATTGAAAACAGTTTCATTTTCTGTTTTTAAAAATAACTGTGGCTTGAAAATATCTGCATATAGTTGTGTTCTATAACTGGGACTATCCGCCAATGCGGGCTACCATTTTGCCATGTAAGTCCAAATTAGGGAGGTTTTCTGTAGTTTAATTATATAATGAATGAGTTTAGAGATAACTAACTTTTGCCCATTCAGTATGCTATATTCAGTACTGTGATTAATAAAAGGATTTTATTTGTGTCATTATAAATTTGGGAATGAAATGACCAATGATGCATTTGACTCTATGGAATGAGCGAGCAGTTTACATAAAGAACTGTGTGAGTCATACAGATCAGGTGGTTCTGAGGTAGTGAAATGTAGGAACGTTCTGTGGGCTCGACATACACTTTGGATGGGGAAGATTAGGAATTTATGCAGTATTTTTGGTGGACAAATTTTTGAGAAGTGTCACTTGTTAGATCTAAAATGAGATAACATAAAGACGGATGACAGAAATGGTTGGTGCACATGGAACTTTGACAGAGCTTTCCCAGAATCATGAACGATGCCCAGGATTGCTTATTGGTTGTGTTGAGCTTTCAGGACGTGCTACCAGAGTGTCCAATAGAATTCGATTTCATGGAAATTGGTTGAGATGGCTTGCTGCCATAGGATGACCTCTGTGAGAACCCTTTTGGTTCTGTAACTGCAGCTCCACTGTGGTTACTTACCTGACTTAATCAACTGCGCATAGTGCAGAAATGTTTTGACTGAAGCTCCGGCAGGAGTGTGGCCCAGGATGGTTGGTATTACAGACTGCAATAAGACAGTTACTAAGAAAAGTATAAGTAAGGTCCTTCTTAATCTCCTGTGATAATCTAAGGTTTGAACTGCCTGTAGCGGAGATGGACACACTGCAGTCAGCTATAATTTTCTTGCACAGCAGCACACACAAAAGGGACCTTTGAATTTTATATACATTCGTACCTTGGACTTACAACTTGATGCTTTCCTGAAAGTGAGTCATGAAGTCCAAGTATATAACGTGGGACATAAAAGAGTTATGTTTCTAGAACTCCAGGCTTAGTCTCATTTTGCAATATTTTAACCCATTTTATGTTATAATTCTATTTTTATATTTTAAAATAAATACATGGACATTAAGTAATGTAGTATTACACATTTAAATAGTTAAAAATAAATATATTAATATTTTGTTATGGGTCGTTGAGAGTTATGATTCGAGCTGGCAGAACGTTTAGAAATATTATAAACAAATACATACACTTTATGAAGATCCACCATCCCCAGCACCATGTCGAATTCAGACAGGAGAACTGTGGTTATGGGAGAGTTTTGAGTTCAGGTTTTGAGTTGAAATCTGAAGCATAAGTGTAATAGGTGTTAACATAATGGGATTGTAATTTTGGAAGTCTTAGGTCGAGGTACAACTGTGCTTTAATTTTATCACAAAAATGTTTACATGGGATCGGGTATAGTGATGGGCTGATGGCTGGGGTTCGATTCCTGGGAGAGGCAAGAGGTTTTTCTCTTTTCCGCATTGTCCAGACCTGTTCTGTGGCCCACCCAGCCATCTGTGTAATGGGTATCTTGGGTAAAGTGGCCAGGACATGAAGCTGACCACTTACCGCAATCTAGTGCATAGGTTAAGAATGGCAGAGCTATACCTCCACTCCTTTATATTCTCCGTCGTATCTTGCTTAATTCATTAAGCACAGGGAGGGCCAAATATACCTTTACCTTTACAGTGATTACATACACCAAGCAGGTTGGTGTAACTTCAGTCTAGACTTTTATTCATAAGGTGCTTGGTTCCAAACCCGGCATCAACATAGGCTATCCTGGCCAAGATTTTACACGGTTGTCCTCAGTCCCTCCAGGCAAATGGGTATATCTCTCAGGCCACTACAGCAAACTTTGAAATTCCTTTCAATTCATTATTGACCAATCACCCAACCATTCAACACTAAACAGTCTGAGATAATGGCAACATCGTAAAATAATTGCCCGCGGAAACTGCTTCATACTCTGTCACTGTATATACAGGTAGCAACCATAAGGCTCCCTTTGCATGAGGGAAATGGCATGTCTTAGCAAACCACTAATCAGTAGTGTTGCTGTGTGGAAAAGCTCCATTAAAGTCAGTGGTTACTAAGACGTGCCACGGACGGTCATCGAAAAGGAGTCCAAGAGTTGATGAACCTCAGAACTTACCGTGTTTAGCTGTGCACTGCCGAACCCACCAAATGCGAGCAGGATGTTCCCACAGATGGTGTTGGCGAAGGCTGTGTCCCTGCATAATTGGCGGCCAATCTCGATAGAAACATCTGAATTTGGCAGGATGCTGAACATGCCAATATTCCTCATGGTTCTCTATGAAACACAAAAGATAATTACATTATTTGTCTGATATGGGCAGCTTAGTGGAGACCCAGCTAGTGCCTCCTTCGTTTCTTGCTAATCAGTCAGCCAGTTGTTTGGTTGATGGGTCACATGAAACATATTTGACTGTCGTTGCTATCAGCATACACAAATAATCTCATACATCCCTGTATTCACATGCTGCAAATTATGTGGGGGTAGCGGTTTAATACCTGTAGATAACGTCTCTACATTAATTGTAACTGAGACCATGTTAACTGAAGAGTTGTGTCTTCTGAAACATAACACAGTGTAGACTTATGAAAGCCAACCAACATTTCGCCTCAATCTTCAAGCTCTATGAGTAACCCAAGCAATAATCAAGATAAAGTAGGTAGCTAGTAGTTGCTTAACTACTCAAGAAATTTCAATCATTATATGGAACCTCAGTTTGCCATTAAATGAACAGGAAAATGGTCAAGGTGGACCTGTTTTGCCTCGCCTTCTCTTCATTATTTGATACTGTCATGACATACATAGACTGCGTCGAATCCTCCAGCCAGGACGAAGTCCCGCAATGGATTTGTTATATGTGATGTGAAGGCCACAGGAGCAAGGCTGAACATGGCGCGGAACTTGCTGTTGTACTGTGGCCGCTCTGACAGGAGGACGTAGAACATTGTGGTGCCCATGGAGTGGCCAATATAGTACAGCTTGTTCTCACCCGTCTTGTTCAGAATGTAGTCCACCACTGCAGGCAAGTCATAGACCCCCATTTCATGCCAACTGCAATGCACAGACAAACGGTATTAAATGGGAGACTGCGAGTAGTTTGCTTTGTGAGATCCTGCCTGCTGTGAGAGTGTTAAGATATAAATGTGAACCTACCCCCCCCCCCAAGGGATACAGGAGTCTTAAATGAAAGGCTCCAAGTATTCTTGATCTTGCTGGAAGGTAGAAGTGATTGGTAAATGGCGATATGCAGCAGATTTTCCCTCTGGAAGTGGCCATCTAATTACATGGATGCATACCCTACTGGGATGTATGAATTCTTCCATTTTCTCATTATTCCTTCTAATATTCTTGTGTGCCATCAATACCATTCTGCATTCATCTTTTTTGTTATCCCCTCTGGCCCCCTTAAGAGTCGCGATTGCTCGGTCGGTATAGCTACGGCATGGACTGCCGGCTTCGATTCCCGATAGGGACGAGAGATTGTTCTCTACTTCATAGCGTCCAGACTGGCTCTAGGGCCCACCTACCCTCCTATTAAATGAGTACCTGGAGGTGAAGTGGAGGTGTGAAGCTGACCACTCACCTCCATCTATTGCCAAGGTCAAGAATGGAGGAAGTATCTCCATGCTCCAGTACATCTTCATGGCATAGTGCTTAATTAATTAAGGACATGGACAACTTCATCTTTACCCTAGCTCTCTTGGCACGCTAACCACCCCCTAACATGCCATTTCCACACAAGTGTTCACAACATCTGTGTGTTCCACACAAACGTTCCTCCTCTTCTAGGGCCTTTTACTTATTGTGGCTTTATGTGTATCCGTCTACATATTCTGCTTATCTAATACACCTTCTGCCTGCCTATACACTCTCTGATTACCTTTACACCTGCTTACCTTTTCACCTTCTGCCTACCTATACATTCTCTGGTAATGTTTATGCCTGCATACCTACACCTTCTGCTTACTTATAGACCTTTACACCCTCTGCTTACCTTCACACATTCTACTTATGTTTACATCTGCTTACCTGAAGTCCCAGAATTTTTTCCCCTTGCTAGTGAATTTGGCATGCCTCCTGGAATAGGTGTTGCCCCGTGCATTCCCCAGCCACACGTCGTAACCCGCATCTGCCAGTACATAACCTGAAACAAGTGTTGTGCAGTGGCAAGTCAACAAACAACATGGCACTCTGAGAGGACCTGCCGTAAGAAGTCATAGGTAAAGTCTATTTGCTTTGCCAACCAAGTCATGTCATACCGTGTGTAGGCAACCTATGAATGAAGTCTTCTCTAAATATGTATGAATTTTCCACCACCTGGTCAAGCTGGCTCCTCGCTCGCGGATTTTTCTACCCTGAAGATGGAGGGGATAAGTTCCTCCAAAACGTCGGTTCACACAAGATCTGCACGGTGCCACATCCCAGAAGACGGCATTCTTCATAGTTACCACCGCGAAAACCTCAAATCGTAAAGAGGAACTTTTGTCCTGAGGCTTTCGGGAGTGAAATGCAATGCACTACTTCAGCATTCGGGAATCGCCGGGTGAAATGTTAAAGGTTTTCCATAATTTCGGTCAACACTGCAGTTGCCCCCTTTCGGGTACTTTGCCTTCTATGAGATCTACATTTATATGAGCTTCCATCCTTCCCCCAAGACATTTTCTTGAAGACAGCAACTTAAGTGGTTGGCGAAATATTAGAAAATCTCTAACATTCTAGGCCATGTGCTCCCGATAGCCGAAGCCATGCAACAGGAAGTGAACAGAACAGTGATGGGAAAGTCAGGACCCCGCTGTTGGCATACCGAGAGCCTTGTCCGGCCCGGTGATGACCCAGTCTGCCGAGCTGCTCAGGACGCCGTGCTGCACAATGACACATCCTTTGTAGGGCGCCTCACCGTCGCGACCGCGGGGGATGCGGTGCAGGGTGAGGAAGTAGCCGTCAGCAGTCAGCACTGTGTGAGTCTCCGCACTGTAGCCATACTTGGTGATCAGCTGCGGCTGAAACACGACAAGCGTGCGTGCGGTCAATCTCGACCCCAGGATCCAGCGTCTGACTTGCTGTCTTACAGGCTTTCGCGTGAGGATGTTTGTGTGCCATGGATCCCGGCGGTATGTTTTTTTCTTTTCCCAGGGAGGAGCCGGGAAATCAGTTTTCCTAAGGGAGACACCTAGAAAATTCGCTTTCGGACTTACGTATAAGCCTCTTAAGACTAGTTTACTAAGACGCAGAAATAATTTATGCTTACTCTTCGACCTTGAAGTGGAAATAATACGTTCCTCCGTAACGTCTGTGAGAATCTTCCATACTTCCTCCGTGGCCGTTAGTTCATAAGCGAACTATACCGACCGAGCGACTGCCGCTTGTCGGCGAAGTTAATGTCAACTTTTGCGGATAGAGGGTGTCGCGTGGTCAGCACAACGGATTCCCACAGCCGGTAATCTCGGTTTTCTAGACCGGAAATCTACCGTACTACATGGCGTCATATCCCAGAAGATGGTGCTCACTATGCGGGGCTCGTACAGAGGCGTACCAAGTGGACCCATGTCACCCTACCCCACTTTGTTCTGGGTCTGAATTTCAACTTGCAGCCTTGTTACCCGTCACAGAGGCCTCTATTTACAGCTGCAGGTTCTAAGCGATGTCGTGTGCTTACTGTCGAGAGATGCGTGTCAGGGTTGTACTCCACCCTCTGCAACTGCAGAGCTGTGAAGTGCATCGCTAGAAGAACAAGACGCAGTAGACCAGCCATGGCTCGACGTTACCCACGAGATGCAGTCATCTCCCGGACAGGCGGACAGCTTCCTGCAGACATGAAATTCCAGGAGCCTTTATGTTCGTTATCACCATAACATAATCTGACTTTAAAGGCTAGGATCGTCAGTTTGAGTAGTTAAAGAAGAAGAGAGTCCCTGAGTGTAACAAACATTTATTGAAGTGCTGAGTCAGTAAAACCGCCTTATCCTCACGAGGCTGAGTGGACCCATTCCAGACCCACTACTTCTCAGAAAATCTGGTAGCGCCGGGAATCGAACCCGGACCTCTGGATCTGTAGGCAGGAACTCTGACAACTAGATCACAAGGGGGATACAAATACGCAAAATAATCGCTACTGGAGTTCATAGAATCCGCATGTGACCCACGAGGTCCTGCTCCATCTAGTGAAAGTTGGTGTCTGGTGTGCTGTAAGTGCAGGAAGGATTCTTGTGTATGTGTTTTTAGCGCAACAATTAATTTCGAAAGATGTAGAGGGACAGCATTTTTAACATCTCCTGTGATCTGTTAACTGTAACTATCGTACTCAATTCCTAACATTATACACCATCAGGCTTGCTGAATCATCAGCACATTTTGTATGCGCCCCATACGGGCCAACAAGGTAAAAATCAATCCTATGTAAGTTCTCAAGTCACATATTTGCTATGCTGTTCAAGAATCGTCTTTGTTTTTCTCACTTCCTCCAGGCAAATGCCATGCTTCACGCTGGTTACTTGCTTGGCTTATTCTTCAACCGTGAAGATGGAAGAGAACGTGTTCCTCCTAAACGTCGGTTGATTTTCAGTGGACTACGCGGCATTATGTCTCAGGAGATAAAACTATTCATAATCACCGCTGTGAGAACCTCAGTTCCTGCATCATGATGATGTCTTGAAATAGCGACGACCACTTTGGAAAGCCCTACCAGACTCTCTCGCATTTCATATAACTTCTACAACCGATACAGGGTCATAAAATGACTTACAAGACAACCAGCGGTTGTAAAGTATCAGTTCGCCATTTTACTTTCAAAATTCGGTACATGTTACACTTTTATTCTAATTGAAAAATTTATTGTTGTTACTGTAGCTGCAATAATTTGATGGAGGTGCCAAGTAAGTTGGCTTGGCAGTAACGTTTCTGATTTGTATTCTGTATGTGCCAGGTTCGAAAGTCAGCCGGCGCACCGACTATCCTGACTGAGGTTTTTCGTGGCTTTTCTAAGTCGTTTTAGGAAAACGCCTCGTTAGTGTCTTAAACTGGCCACCACCTTCCTTACACAGTCGTCCCAAGCATTATTATCATCCAAACATTCAACTCTATGTAGTATGAATTAAATACAACATCGTTAAATTAATTACAAATGAATGAGAATTACGGACCAGTGTCCTTCAGCAGTTGATTGTTGCTCAGCTGGTGAAGACCTTTATTGCCTTTCGTGGACCCCTCAGTATCATTACCGTGTTCACACAAGTCTACAAACGGCTCCTGTCCTAACCGAATTAATCTGCTTCAAATCTTCACACATTATTTCTCTAAGATTCATTTCAACATTATCTTTCTTCCATCCTCTGGTCTTCCAAGTAATATCTTCCCTTCAGGTTCTGCAAATAAAATTCTGTATGCATTTGTCATCTCATTTTTTCGTCACGAACACCTTCAAACTCTGCTGAACAAGAGGCAGCATTACAGCTCTGTGTTCATATGTCCAAATGCGGGCCGACTAGTGGCGCCGTTCCCCGAATTTAATCTGCGCTCCAGCTGGCCATTTTCCATTCCTCAGGAAGTCTGAAAGCAACACCCTGGCAAGAGTTCGAGGCCGTTTTTGTAACATTTCATAAAATGCTACATTTTTAATGATGAGGGGGTATTAACCTGGGAATAATTGTTGATATGAAGGATCACCCCTTGTAGGCAGAGTTGGTCTGGACACTGCGAAGCAGGGGAAAGTCTCTTGCCCCTACTGGAATCGAACTCTGGCCATAGTCCGTTGCTATACCGACTGAAGTGTAGGTACGACGTACCCTCACACGAGTTTCAAATTGGCAGGAGCCCCAGCAGTAGTCTCTTAGGGCGGTATCGCACTAGGCTGCCAACAGGAGGCCATGGCGCAGCTGCCAGCATCTCGGCCAAACTCGGTGTATTAATTTAGTAGTCAGGGCCGTGCTATAGCTCAAGCGGTTAGTCGCTGGCTTCACACAGCGGCGGCCCGGGTTCGATCCCGGGTCTGGTCAAGTGGGATTTGTGGTGGACGAAGTGACGCTGGGGCAGGTTTTCTCCGAGTACTTCGGTTTCGTTCCACCAATTGCTCCACAATCACCCTCACCTATCATCTGGGGCTGGTACAATAGGCCAGAAGTGGCCGCAGTACAAGGGACTTAGTCCCACTCCACTAGCAATAAAAAAAATTAGTAGTCATATATCGCACCTGGCATCTGCCTGGCAGCGCTGCCAACCAAGATGCCAAGTGATAATGCTGCTGGCATCGCTGCCACGAAGGCAAAGGCCAAATCAACATCACACGACAGTGTGAGGCCAGTCCATTGACGTCCGTGCGTGTATATGTGCTTGTGTGTATTTATATTTCCTTCAAACATGTCCAATTTCGACAGCGAAAGATTTATTATTGAAATTCAGTCCCGGCCATCTGGCAGCTGGACGCCATGGCATCGCTGTTGGTGTCGCTGCCATGGCAACCTAGTGCGATACCGCCCTTAACTGCTACTGCTGTTACGTTTCTGCAGGGAGCGTAGACTTCCGGGCAGCCACGTTGTGGACTGAGAAAATTGCATTTTATGAAACTGGAAGTTTAAAATTTGAATTGTAATCTAAATAATCGTGACACTGGTACGGAAATAGCTACGTAGCTGTACCTCCTAGAGGAGAAGGCAAGGCAAGCTGTGTCCAAGCACCAAGTCATTATGGTATGTGCGTAACGCACCGTGTTGTTCTACCTCAGGACAAGACGGGAATGTGTAATCAGTTTCAAGTTCCGGTCGATTTACTCACTGTAAAAAAAAGTATAGATATTCCTGTAACAGGCCGTGGAGGCCCAAAGGGTTGTGAGACGTTGAGGGTCCCACATTTTCTAGACAATCGGCTCATCGATGGCGGCAAGGTTGTCAGCCTTACGCGCCGGCCGCCCTTTACCCTCAAGAACATTCCAATTTACTCACTGTATTCAGTGAATATATCCGGTGAAGGTGGCTAAACGCTGACATCCAAACCTTGTATTCCGGAGGTATTTGCTTCATATTTCGGCCTTGGTATCTGCTGACCTGACTGCAGAGTTACGTGATGTTCCTCAGTCCCTCCAAGCTAATCACGAGACAGTACTTCAAAATAAGTTGCGACCGCTTTCTTTCACATCCTTTCCAATTCACTGGTCGCCCTTTAACGAGGGATGCAGTCCAGAAGCAAACGTCCCGGGACGGTGCGCCTCACGTTCCTTGTTGAAAGAAACAGCAAGAGACCCATCTCGGGCACTTCACAGTTTCGTACTTCTAAACGCGCGATTGCGCGACACAACTCCTGAAATTTACATACTTAAGAGGCAGACATTTCAACATCTAATAACAGGGAGGTCGGAAATTACACAACATCTTCAAGAGTACATCATACTTTGAGTCGACCACGTCACCGAAAGAAGTCCGGTTTGTTCAGCAAGGTCTCCGGTATGGCGGGTTTGGTTCCCGTCTTGTGTCTCAGATACAAGATAGAGATAACTATGAAGCATGCGGTCTTCAGGGTTGTAACGCCGTGTAGCTTAAGGACAGCCTGACGTTTCAGAGGAATATGTCGTCTCCATCTTCAGTACCAAAGAGTAAGCTAAGGCAATGAAGAAAGCAGTCTTCTGGGATTTGGCACTGTGTGTATATGTGGTGTTAACCGACGTTTCGGAGGAACGTATCGCCTCCATCTTCAGGGTAGAAGAAAATATATAAGCAATCTGCAAGCGTTACCGGTTCTCACGGTCTCTTCGCTTGCAGATTTCTTATATTTTTTCTTCTACCCTGAAGATGGAGGCGATACGTTCCTCCGAAACGTCGGTTAACACCACATATACACGGTGCCAAATCCCAGAAGACTGCTTTCTTCATAGTCACCGCCGTGAAAGCCTCAAATCTTACAAGCTAAGGCAAGTTTGCCGACTGCGTATGCTTGATTATTGCGTGGCTTACTCTTCCACCCTGAAGACAGGAGCAGTAATTTTCTCTGACGCGTCAGGTTCTCTCCGAAGTAGCGACGTTACAATCTAGAGGATTATACTGTTCAGTTTCTGGTATCTTTCTAATAATGACGTAAAAATTGATGTCACTATCTGATGATGACGCAGAACCAGAACTGTTTAGGCCTGACAGTATAATTCTTACATATATTCTTTGTATGTAAAGCCTTTAATGAAAATACACTCTAAAAAAATCCTTCTATGTTCGTGAAAATAATATTTGGTCCCTTTGAAAATAATAAACAAATTAATATTGCAGTCTTATGGGTTGTGACACCGTACAATTTTAATGTAAGTACCATCGTTACATGGTAGAAGGGTGAACTTCCGTCTCGTCTAATAACACCTTTATACCGTTCTTATTAACTGACTTCACTGTCCTTAATACACGCTCCAGGGCAGCGTCGCGGCTCACAAAGGACACCGGCGCGACGCCCTATCTAAACAGGCTCAGATAGCCTTAGAAACTGACGCGCTTCTGAAGCCACGGACACTCGACGCAACAGGCCTATAGGTTCAGCTCCTTCCAGCATCCTCAATACACTCATTTGTGCCTTGCTTAAAGATGCTATGACTAGCTCAGTCTACATAGTGTCGAATGTTAGGATGATTAGTCGGTGACGAATTTGAAAGGATTTGGAAGGAAGCAACCCTGGCTTAATTTGAGGTACTCTCCCGGTATTTGCCTGGAAAGACTGAGGAAAACCACTGAGAACCTCAGTCAGGATTATCGGTGTCCGAGCCACGATTCGAACCCCGCACATTCGAAACACAAATCATAAGCGTTATCGCTTCAAGCACTTGTCTCGGTACACCGTCGTTAAAGAAACCATAAATAATTCGAAATCAACTGATTTACTGACACTCGTTACTTCCCTCAGTCTCTTCAGAGGAAAGCTTTCAGAAAGCTACGATTATTTTGTTACTTACTTACCTCTCATTATCAACGCTGTATAATTTCTGGAGTTGAAACAGCGTCGTTAAATATGATAAAAATGAACTAAGTTAAATAACTTCTCTAGAGTACGGACCTAATGCTCTTAGGACAGCAAATCCATATGAATAAGCAACAGTTAAATATATAAGAGAACAGATTGAAATCTCTGTACAAAATATAGTAAAACAAACGAAAAGAATAACAAACAAACAAACAATTATGGTTCCCCGAAAATGGATCGAAATTACCTTGAGTTCTTCACTGCGCTCACTGAGATGCAAAATGAATCGGCTGGCATTTTATATCGATCTTGACGTAGAGATAGTAGTTATATGGAATGTGTCGCACCAGTGAAGCCATCAAGGCTTCATGACGACAATTATATGGAATGTGTCGCACTAGTGAAGCCATCACAAGTACAAGGACTTCATGACAAAAATTATGTGAAATGTGTTGCGATTGTGAAGCCATCACGCCTTCTTCTTTTCATCACAACAATTGTAAACGTACGAGTATTTATGACAGTCATCAGATTACAGAGCGTAACAACAATGTCTGAGAAGCCTTTGTTCTACATTAGTTCCCAACCGTGGGTCGCGATCCAAATCAGGCATGCAGATTCTCCTTTATGAATTTTAGTTTAATTATTCTTTAATTTATCTTAACCGCCATGAAACCATCACAGTGTTGCTTTGATAATTATCCTACGATTACCTGTAATTATCGTAATTACGATTGCAATCGTTGTACTGTTAACTACTATAATCATTGTACGTGTATTTGCAGTTAATTATCCCATTAAGTGTTTTGTATGTCAGATTTTTGTGGGAGGGTGTGGAGTAGGCAGATCTAGACATAGGTGGGAAGATAATATTAAAAGGGATCTTAAAGAAATATGATGGGATGGTATGGACTGGATTCAGCTGGCTCAGGATAGGGACCAGTGACTGGCCATTTTTAAAATGGTGTAGAACCTTCGGGTTCCATAAAATATTTGGAAATTCTTGAGTAGCTGAGCAACTGACAGTTTCTCGAGAAGGGCTTTGCTCCGTGGAGTTAGATTATTTAATTTTGAATTGTGAAAAGGGCCTTAGAGGTTCAGTCGTGGATCAGGAGAATCTGTTGGGGGCCATTGTCTTAGGTCTTCAGTTGGTCGTGTTGAGGCAAGTTATAGACTTCTCTTGTGACGTACACGGGTAAAGAATATTTTATAATCGATACAAAGCTGTGGATAAGTAAATACATCTCGAACATGGGTAAGGTAGGGTAAAGGTATCCCTGTAACAGCCCGTGAAGGCCCATAAGGTTGCGAGATGTTGAGGTTCCCACATTTTCTAGACAATCGGCTCACAGATGGCGGTAAGGTTGTCAGCCTTACGCGCCGACCGCGAAGTAAACAAATATCAGTTAAACTGGAAACAACGTATAAATGAGATACAGGATAGAACAGTTCCCAAATTAGTATACTTATATAATGCCAGAGGAAGGAGAGATATAGACTCAAAATGGCGTCAGTGCAGATTCATGACGTAGCAGGAAAGCAAATATATCTATCTTACTGAACGAATTTCGTCAGGAATCTTACAGACTATAATTCTCTCATGCCCGGGGTTGAAAGAAGTTGCAGACAGACAAAGCCTTTGTTCCTTTTAATTTTGTTAAATGGATGTTTATTTCTGTTGCTATTTTGTTCATATCGTGACTATACATTGGCAGTAATCTAAACAGGTTATGTAGCAATGCAAGAAAAACGGCCCAAGAATTACGACGTTGGTAGACTTACCTGTCGACCAGACTACACGGCGTCATATCCCAGGGGGCAGTTGTCTTGTAATAAAACTTTTATCGACTCTTTTATACGTGTTCTTTAGAAAGTAACAATCGAGCAGATGAAGAAGAAGAAGAAGAAGAAGAAGAAGATCGTGGAGATCGTGTCTGTCCGTCCGTTTGTGACCCAGTAGAAGCACCTAAACCTCTAGATTTTCTTTATATTTTGTCATGGAAAACTTTCTTAAAAGGTTTTGCTGCAATTCCGACTTTCGGCCATATTGATAAAGCCTGGTTTAGATAAATCTATGAGCTACGTTTTCCACATATCCCACAAACCACTTCAGAGACTGTACCTAAATCCTATATATAAGACTCCCTAAAAGCTGTCTGGAAATGCCGAATTTCAGCCATATTAATAATAATACCTAGTTACATAAGATCGTAAATAGATTTTCTATGTATGGCATAAACCGACCCACAAATTCTATTCAAGTTTTATATGGGAGGATTTACTACTTCATGTTTCATTATCCTTATTTTTAAGTAAACTCAGTGAACTCCAAAGAACACCGTTGCTAATTTTGTGTACTCAATTGTGGAATACAGCATTCTCAGTCTTGTTAAAAATACGGCATTTTGTTGAAGCGAGGACTATACCATTGCATGAAGATCGGTGTTGGTGAAATAGACTTTTGTAAGAATAAAGCTTTGTGTAATACTTCCCGTTGCATTAGCCATTCGTAAGTTATAACCTGTCTTTTCCCTGTCACATGACAGAGAAACAGAACAGAAAAAAAGGACAATTGTTGCATTATTGACGGACTGTGATATATATAGAGTTAAAAAACAACAGCAAATTGAATTATTACATCAATGAGAATCGAATTTCAGTTTTAAAACATCAAAGCCATACAACAAGAGCTTTGCTTGTGAAACTTCTTTTGTTGTTTCCTTTAAAACGAAGCGATGTCACTTCGATAATATGAAATTATATTCCAGAAAATGTTTGGAAGAAAATTTTTAAAAGAATTGTTATTAAAGGCGGCATGTAATGCAAATGAAAGAACTAATTTTTAAGAAGAAAGCAGTCTTCTGGGATTTGGCACCGTGTATATGTGGTATATACACGGTGCCAAATCCCAGAAGACTGCTTTCTTCATAGTCACCGCCGTGAAAGCCTCAAATCTTACAACTCATTTTTAATTTCCCGTCCTTCTGTTTTGGGTGAAAACTTTATCTCCATCACGTCGATATGTGCATTTTGAGAGCTGCTTATTCTTCATCTCTGCATGGAAACGCGTACAGCTGTCAGCAACAGCGAAAACGGCTCCGTGCAATGGGTCATTCATTTCAGCCTGGAATCGCACCCCCAGACCAATTTGGCACTTTCGTTTGTAGGACTGCGCTCCTGACTACAGGCTGTCGAAAGTTTCGCTCTCCCAGTGCAGTCCAAGGACTGTCATAACGGACTGCGTTTCTATTAATACAAATATGTAATAAAAGTTTCCATATAAAGCAGCAGCCAGATGAGACGTAACGTTAGGTTTCGCGTATTATTAAATGCCTCACTGTTTGAAGAAGTCAGTTTATATCCTAAATGTCCTGCGACCTCTGGTCTAGAAAACCGAGATTAACGGGCGTGGGGATTCGTTGCGCTGACCACGCAACACCCTCTATCCGCTAATGTTGGCACTAACTTCGCCGACAAGCGGCGGTGGCTCGGTCGGTATAGTTCGCTTGCGGACTACAGGCCACGGAGTTTGTTTTACGTCCCGCGACCGGTGAATCAAGGTTTTACGTGATTTTCCTCAATCCTAGAGAAAATTCTGAGTTGGTACCGAAATTCCACGTTGCACTGTATGCTTCAAATGCAACAAACCGCCTCTGCCCTTCAATGTTATTATCAAAATGTTGCCCTAAAGTATCCCTCCAAATGTCACCGTCAAAATTCCGATCTAACGTATTGTTGTATATGACGGTGTGATGTATTGGATATTATTAATGTAACAGGTATATGGTGGATAGAATAATTACAATGGTTACGGTTCATAAGTAACATTTTATTAAATCCGAATATAATATTGATGATAATTATGAAATGTAACAGCACAGGTTTGTCACATACTGTAACTCGACTTTCACCGATGTTATCCGCCAGAGGACAACAAGACTTGTTTTGTACTGAGGGAAGCAAATAAGAATAGTCATGTTGCTTCACAGAGCCACTGGAAAACATCAGTTAAAGTCCGAGAAAACAAGCCAAGGTCCAGGAAGACCCACCATATGAAATAACAATAGAATGGTCTAGAAATATCCTATATGATGAAATTTGTACCTTCCAAAGAAGCTTCCACAAGGGCCCCACCCTACAGACAGGGCTGTAAGAACCCTGACCTAAACCGTCCAAAACGCACTCTAATCTGATTACGAAATTTAGTCTATAGGACGGTACTCTGTCAGTTAAGAGTCGGCCACTGCTAAAGCCTTAAGCAGGCTTGTAATAGTTGTATATATTTACTGTGTAATAAACTCTCTTGAATTAAGCATCTTCCAGCAGCTTATCTCCACCAATACGACGGACAACGTTTGCCGCTCGACTGACTCTGTCAAGCCAACCCACGAGTACCCACTCTGTCGCCCGACAGTAGCAAAGAACCCCGCTCCACTTCTTTGCTCTACTCAGAACACATTGAAGTTTCTTACATTTTACTTTCGCTTCCACGACGTTCTACCCTCTCCCGAACCTGCCTTCATCAGGACCCTCAATGCAGGAAAATGATCTGTCCTCCCTTAAGCTGTAGTCTCTCTCACTGCTCCCTCCCCCCTCCATTTCCTCTTCTCTCTGTCCCCTGGACCTTGGATCTCTTCCCGCATGTGGACGTTATACCATGACAAGATTTACTGCATTAAGTGTCGGCTGAAGTCCAAGCCCCGATTGAGAGCCGCGGTTTGGTTCACCCTCGCACATCAGAAACGGTGATGCTTGTGCATATGTCCTTCATGGGCCGACCTGCGGCTAATTTCGGACCTCCATCGTAAGAAGTCGGTATGTAACTGTTTGAACTGGACTTGGCCAAACTGCGGCTTGCGAGAAATGTGTGTGTGTTTGTGTATAGTCACGTATACGGGGTAGGCGTGACTAATAATTTTGGGTACTCGATTTGATGATTGCATTTATTGGACGTCTCTATTATAGTTAGGGCATGTACTGTCTTCTCTCGCTTGGAAACTGGGATCGTGGGTTCGAACCCCACTCAGGGCATGGATGTTTAGTTTGTATGTGTGCGTTTTTCTGTGTTTGTGTACAGGTAGAGGCCTTGCGACGAGCTGATCACCCGCCCAAGGAGTCCTACCGAATGTGTAAGATCTAGAAAAACCGAAGTGAACGGAGAAATTCATGGAGGTAGGCCTAGGCCCACTAGTGCTGTAGTGCAAAATGAAACCAATTATAGTTAGAGTTAATTATAACAGTTCACACATTGAACTCCTTCTATATAACGAATCACTCACTGCTGTCTAGTCTTCTACTTCTTGGTACGACTCTCCAGTATGACTCCTTGCTCGGTCTGGCAAATTCCTCTCCTTTCATGACTTCGCGAGAACCGTATAGAAAACATCCGCTACAACAGTTTGTCTATTGTAATCTGCATATCCGTTGTAACGATAATCCATGTATTCATTCGTTGCTACAGAAACAATGTTTACCTAGCCGTTGCATAGCAACAGACGTATTTGTTGTGCTTCTCTAACTGCGCACGTCCGGCTTTCAGGCGTCATGTCACACACACACACACATATATATAAATATATATATATTAGTCAAGCCTTTATTTGCAAGTGGATTGAATATAAAAAGGCTTGGGCGCCTGTACCGAAACACCTGTTCCCTCTAACTGCACTGCAGAGAAACGAGATGAAATCGGATTTTGGCTTGAAAAATTCCGCTCTGAAATGCCTCAGGCACCTTGCATGGGGGAGCAGGATTGAAAAGTGTCGGTTTTCGAGTTTCCCGTTTGCTCTATGTCCTACAAGGAACTACAACGGGTGAATGTGTCATTTTACATAGGTGCAAGAAATGTGTGCATAACAACATGGAGTGTTTGCATCACCTATTGTGTGTGAGCTGGGTGTGTGTTTTGAGCGATATGTTAGTCTATCCAGCTCAGTGCGAAATGACGCGAGTAGCCTGTGTTCCTCTCGCCCGAACGGTCGAAAGATTTCCTGGATGCTCTTAGACAATCCCACTGTTAGAAATGTGGCCTATCTGAAGTCCTCGCAGCGGTTACTATGAAGGTTACTGTGCTCTGGGAACTTCTACAAAATGCTACATCTGAGAAGACAGTGTACTCTGATATAAAAGTCTTTTGCGACTGTTCATTTCCTCACACACCATTCCGCAGCTGGAACTAGTAAGTGTGCTTATGGTTATGCAACATTTACTTTATAGATTAACCTAATCTTGGTATCAGATGGATGGGGGTCAGTTTGAAGCCCCGATGTATATTGGACACGTGGCTGGATACGGACCACAGCTCTCAGCTCGTATTGACGTAATTATTTCACATCACATATTCGAAACAAGGGGGATGAATGAATGAATGTATGTATGAGGGGTGGGCCTTCTCGGCCTTTGCACCGCGACCTGCAGTGATTTGTTGTGTAGCGAGGGGGTTAGTGACATGTAAGTAAAAGTAGAACTATCCCTGTAACAGGCCGTGGAGGCCCATAGGGTTGTGAGATGTTGAGGCTCCCACATTTTCTAGACAATCGGCTCACAGATGAGGGTGAGATTGTCAGCGTTACGCACCGGCCTCCCTGTACCCCCCAGGAATATTTCTGGTACTCATTTCAATTAGAGGTTGAGCCGACCCCAGGACCGTAGTGCGGCCGGAAGGATTAGGTCAACTGAAAAAAATCCACCTCATCGGGATACGATCCCCCGACATTCTGGCTTGTAGCATAGTGCCTCAACCAACTACGGTACCGTGTGCCCACGATAGTGACATGTATATCAGAAAAATATACCTAATCGTGCGAACTGATGCCAAAAGGAGCTCTTTGGCTGGCTTTTGCGGTAAAAATAATGAACTTATGTGACATTTTGAGTTTTTTTTTGGGGGGGGGGCACTTGCTTAGTTAACATTCTGTTTCAGACTGTACGTAATTAGACTGGTCGATGTTGGGCCCAGTCAGAGTGTCGCTAAGTGTGAAGAGCTCGCAACCGTCGAGTCCGCCCGTTTTAATGAGAGGATTTTGTCTTTTACGCCTGAGCGGCCGAATGACTTTCGGATAGCTCTCAGACGAATGTATTGCATAATGACTTCATGTTTATGGCTAATCTGTAGGTACGAAATCCCGACAGCAGAAGGGGGACGTATTATTGTAACTAACATCCACATGACAAGTCGGATGAAATGACATTCAAGATCAGCGGAATGAGGTTCAGGAACAGTGCCGTCTCTTGATGATGCGCAAGGACACAAGGAAATGAATGAAGCAAAGGCCAAGAGCAGGCCAAAAATGGAAGGTCGATTATACTCTATGAGTGCTTTGTATAAGAGGTTTAATTGTTCATGTTTTTAAACTACTGACTGTCAAGGTAATGACTTTAACATTTTTGTTTCTCATATTTGTATTATTACAAAATATTATGACCCTGAAAAAGTCAGTCTAGACATCTTGACGGATTTGTACGTTTTGAGCTCCCCTGAATAAGGAGGAAAGGTTACTGGAACGAAATCTCTTTGTGTGCACGTTTGTACGCATGCGTTGCATTGCAGTACTGCAACAATACGCAGACTCGTCAAACCGTAGACGAATGAGTTGTATGTTGCGGTCAAAGCAACAGCCAAAAACAGAAAGATTACTTGAAGTCTTTTTATTGGTTTTATAAAAAACAATAGATTGCACAGAAGCCAGCTTTTACTTTCCAGCAATTGTGTTCAGAGTATTTCTCTTCATCTTGACGACCAAAACGGCTTTGTTTTTACAGACTCCTATCCAGTAGACACTGTACTCTGGCTGTCCCGTTGGAATGAGGAGGCCGGAGAGTAAAGCTAACCATGTTCATCTAGTGTCAAGGTCAACAATGATTTGTCAGTACTTCTACACCATTACAATTTTACTACGGGTTTATTATTCTCGTAGAAACACAATGCAGACACCATTTTATACACGAATAACTGAGAACTGCCATGTGCTGAATATGGCGTTTGAAGTCAAAACAGAAATGATTATTTTTCTTTATAAACTTAATTTGTTTGAATTGTATCCAAATACCCCCTTCTGCTATCTGGCAATGCAACGTGGTGACAATAATGCCCTTTGTTTCGCCCGACGAAAACATAGATATCCGAGAGGCTATATAGTCATTTCAGGGAATTGGATTCGTAGGTTGAGATTTTTATTTACTTATTTATTTGTTCAACTCTTGCGGTGGTTATCAGCGCCCTACGGAAGACGTGTGAAGCTTCTGTGGACTTGCTAACTTTGATGTCATTGCTGCCAACCACAAAATGACTAAGTTGTGTTGGTAATGCGTAAAGGAATGACTGGCTGATTGCATTTTATTAGTGAAATTTCTATATAAACACATTAGAATGGAAGAAATTGGAATTATATTACCCGATAAGGTACGAAGAATATATTAATCAGCAGTGATGATTTAATGTGAAAGTGAATAATGTAGTATGTGTAAATGTTGTCAGGTTAAATGATCGTGACATAACCAAAATTGTGGCTTTTCTTATAAATTTCAGGAAGAAAATAGCCAAGACTTCAAACCGATTTCGGGGCCTGTAATTGGTTCGGGAGAAGAGGTAGATGTAGAAGATCTTTACACAAAATACAAGGTAAATCTATGACTTTGCACTGTTGATCATAATGAAAGGACACAATACAATTAGTGAAGGAGATTGCCTATAGTTGCCCCGCTTTTGCCATGTGCGTATCACTCATTGTATTGATACTCATGTGTGCTGCATGAAAGGAAGAGTGGGGAATTTGGAAGGTTCTCTGCTGTGTTGACTAACTGAGGAGCACATTGTTCCTGCTGGCACAAGGGTATTGTTACTTTTGATGGACATTTTCCCCCCCTTAATTCACCAGAATTACTCAAGTATTGCAACTGTTTTCATTATTATGTCTTAAGATGTTGTTTGTATAAGTTAATAAATTTCAGTTGCTACCCTTGCAACCTTTTCCAAAAATTTAGTGCATATACATTGTTTTGTACTCTTGGACACTGTTAAATCGACTGACTAAACTAACTTCATGGAACTGAGCCCTTCTTGAGAAGCTGTCAGTTATGGAACTACTGAAGACTTAAATGGACACAGTACAGAAACACTTAATTTGAAATGCTGACCACAAGTGACTGAAACAGTGGAATGAACTGTAAACATTCATGAACATGCAGTGACACATCAGAAATGTGTTTATTGCAGCCATGTTCATGCACAGTACAATTTATATGAGACGTTTTAGTTCAGTCTCAGTGGGTTTTCATCGGACATCGTGTTTAATGAATACATTAACTGAAAACCCCAACATTTAATTTCACAAGTCCAAGTTTAGATTTTTTTTTTAAATAACTAGTAAGAAATCTTCTGCATAAGCAACCATTTGGTGTGAAATGCAGAGTGAGTAGCAGCAGTGGTATTTTGAGCTTTCAAGAACTTTAATCTGTGTACTCATGTTTACAGACATCTGCATTTTATTGCTTAGTTAGACACTTGACCTGTTCCCTTACTGTAATGAACAGTGTGTCACTGGGTGTCTCTTTAAATGTAAGGAATTGACCTAGACTTAAATGCTTTCAGTCACTTCAGGTTTGCATTACTAAGTTTATTTTGTGTGTCTTGGGGCATATTTTATCACATTATCATATAGACTATATAACACTGAACAGTAGGATGATGGATGAAAGGGAAAGGATTTGGAAGGAAATGGTTGTAGCACTGGGGGACTGAGGAATACCACATAAAACTTCAGTGAAAATAGCCAAGATTCGAACCAAGAACCTCATGGATACCTCATATAGACTATATAACACTGAACAGTAGGATGATGGATGAAAAGGAAAGGATTTGGAAGGAAATGGTTGTAGCATGGGGGGGACTGAGGAATACCACATAAAACTTCAGTGAAAATAGCCAAGATTCGAACCAAGAACCTCATGGATACAAGCCAGAAGCAATACCACTGCACTAACCTGCTCACTCTGATTGTTTTGATTTCACAAGTCTATTAGAGAAAATAAGATGAAAATTCAGGGAGTTGTGTGGGTTCACAGAAACTGCAGCGGCAACTCGAGTTTCTTGCTGTTCAGGAGGAATACATCAAGGATGAGCAGCGCAACCTGAAGAAGGAATACCTTCACGCACAGGAGGAGGTGAAGCGAATCCAGAGTGTTCCACTCGTCATAGGGCAGTTCTTGGAAGCTGTTGATCAGAATACTGGCATCGTAGGGAGCACGACTGGTGTGTGTGTTTGTGTGAGGTTTCTGTTAATTCTCATGGTACATTTGTTTCTTGCCCAAAGCTTTAGCTCTGTTCACTGCAGCCTGAACATAGATGACACTCTGTGACTGTAGAGCTGATCAATGATTTGATTCAATTTTTATATAGTTTTTGTTGAATGCTAGGGTTCGAGAAAAGAGTTGTTCTTGTTCTTCTGTGAAGTCATCATTTGCTGTATTGCAGCTGATAGCTTCGTTTTTGCCTAATAATTGTTTTAATATGGTTTACATTATGCAGTTATTCACTTGCAAATTATTCTCTTTTGTACATATATATATATAAAAGGAGCCAGGATAGCTCAGTTGGTATAGTGATGGTCTAAGGACTCTATGGCTGATGTTCGCCAGCTCTGGGGTCCACCCAGCCTCCTGTCCAGTTGATACAGGGGCTCATCTTCCGGGGGTAAAGCAGCCGGTTTGTGAAGCTGACTGCTCACCTTTATCTAGTAACAAGGTCAAGAATGATGGATGTGTACCACCACTCCTCCATATGTCTTCATGGCATAGTGCTTCATTAAGCACAGGGACGACTTGACCATTACCTGCAAGTAACCTATTCAGTGTGTACTGGGGTCTGTTTCCCCAAGGGTGAAACAGGTGTAGCATGCAGCTGATGACTCACTCATGCTCTAGTTTTGGCCCCATTTTTATGTCAGGAGAGGCCCTGAGTCATTTTAAGAAAACTGTTAGAGTATGTGAAGAACACAAAAATTAGAATATACAAAACTATAATTTTGCCTGTGGGTCTGTATGGGTGTGAAACTTGCTCTCTGATATTAAGGGAGGAACATAAACTAAGGGTGTTTGAGAACAGGGTGATGAGGAGAATATTTGGAATGAAGAGAGATGAAGTGGCAGGAGGTTGGAGAAAACTGCATAATGAGGAGCTTCATAACTTGTACTCCTCTCCAAGTGTAATTAGAATGATGAAGTCAAGGAGGATGGGTTGGCAGGGCATGTAGCATGAAGGGGGGAGAAGAGGAATACATATAGGATATTGGTGGGAAAGCCAGAAGGAAAGAGACCACTGGTGAGACCAAGCCTTAGGTGGGTGGACAATATTAAAATTAATCTTAGAGAGACAGGATGGGATGGTATGGATTGGATTGATCTGGCTCAGGATAGGGACCAGTGTAAGGCTCTTGTGAACACGGTAATAAACCTTCGGGTTCCATAAAATGCTGTGAAATTCTTGAGTAGCTGCAGAATTGGCGGCTCCTCAGGAAGGGCTCAGCTCCATGAGTGAGTGAGTGAGTAAGTAAGTAAGTAAGTAAGATCAGGATTGATGATCATGAAAAATGTTTGCAGACCACAGCAATGGACTGGAAAGAGTAAGCCATGGCTGAGAGCACAGCTCACCGTCTTAGTGCTGATGTTTCTATTGCAGGTTCAAATTATTATGTGCGGATACTGTCCACCATAGATCGGGAGCTACTGAAGCCATCTGCCAGTGTGGCTCTGCACAAGCACAGTAATGCACTTGTTGACGTGCTGCCACCAGAAGCCGACTCATCCATATCCATGTTGCAGGCAGGTGTGTCACATAATGGAGTGTTCTGCTTCATATATATGAGGTCGGGGTTTATATATCCAGAAACTGGCCATCTTGATTATAGAAACATCTTCACACTGGTGTACTGGCAACTTCAGACTTGTATTCAGGAGGCATTCAGTTTGATTCTTGATCAGAACACCAGCTATCCTGACTGTGGTTTTTCATGATTTTCCTCAGTGCCTTGATGCACTGGGATTATACCTGGATTGGGGCATGGTCACTTCCTGTCATGTACTCCAGTTCATTATTCATCAGTCATATTTACTATTTGACACTGTGCGATCAAAGGTCTGACAGCATCATAAAATAAACCACATGAATGAAATATGTAACATTGGAGTAGTATCAAGAAATCTTGCTCCAAATCTGAGGAGTTCGGTATTTGATGATCAGACCTGGATCCAGTAGAATGATGCACGTGCTTAGACTTCTCTTGTTCTAGTGATGGATGTTTTGATTTGGAGATTTTCAGTGATCGGTTCCTTAATCTTTATGAGCCAGATTTAAATACTGTACCCTGCTACTACAAATTTAAACTAGGCAGTAATTGGATCTGTATTGCAAACAGTGTGAGTCTGGTCCTTCTGGGATCAGCCAAACTATTGCACATGCTTACACAGTTAATGAACTCTCTACTAGACAATACCAAAAGGCAGTCACCTGTTGTGTAAGTAAACTGAATAGGACATTGCCTATACCTCAGTTGAAGTCATAGGTAAAGTCATATGAGATTTGATGTTCTCATGGCGATGACTATGAAGAGTGCCGATTGTGTTAACTGATGTTTTGGAGGAACGTCAGTTAACAGAATATCTACATGGCGCCACAAACTGGAAGACGGCATTCTTGAAGTAAAGTCATGTTCATCTGTATGTCGGTGCATACATGAATAAAATAAGTACATCGTTTTTAAGACATAGGTCTTATCAATATAATGGTCGACTGAGTAGGACCCTGGCTTCACATTTATAATGTTCTGGTATCAAATTTTGGCCCAAAGACCTGCTGTCAAGATAGTTTTCCTCTGTCCATGCAAGCAGATCCTAGGATTGCACCTCAAATGCCATGACCGTTTCCTTCTTGCATCTAATTCATTTAATTATTCACTGATTATTTTATAATTCAGCTGTATAATATCTGAGCCAGTGACTGCATCATGAAATACAAATAAAATAAATAAGTGGAACTGCTGACACCAGTTGTCGCGTGTTGGGTATGTCACGCAACAAATAACTTTATGTGGGTCTTGGATTTAGCGAATCTTTATTGGACACTCACACTTACACTCTTACAACACTCTAATGTGACATCTCAACTATCCTTGGCCATGGTTGGATCTCAACTGTCTCTGGCGGCGGCTATCCCAATACTGACTTCTTACTGTCTTTTTTTCTATATTGTATGGCGTCTAGGTTCCGACTGACTTGGCAAATGCCTTCAACCCTTTTTATAACCTTGGCCGCTGCTATGCAATGAACCCTCGTTATAACCGTGGAGACTCATTTCCAGGGAGATTCGGCATTCTCTACGCAACGGCTCACTGTTAGAATTACAATACCACTATTGTTACTTCCTATGCAACGGGTCTGTTCTAGCATTTCCGTGGAAGTAACCCTTCTGGATTCCAAACATGTGACAATATATAAGTATTGTTGTTTGTATATGAAATATAAATGTTCATGCACTTCCCATGCATCCAGTGTGTAGAGACTGTATGAAATGTGTGTTGTGTATTGTGTGGAACTGTTCACACCGAAGTTGTACTGTTCTCTGTAACAAACCTGTTGTGCAGTTACATATCTCCTCCTGTGTTCAGATGAGAAGCCAGATGTGCAATATGCAGATATTGGTGGGATGGACATGCAGAAGCAGGAGATCCGGGAGGCCGTTGAACTGCCCTTGACACATTTCGAGTTGTACAAGCAGATCGGTATTGATCCTCCACGTGGTGTACTGATGTATGGCCCACCCGGCTGTGGCAAAACCATGCTGGCCAAAGCAGTGGCCCACCATACAACAGGTGAGTTGGATTGAGATTAAAATATAGAAATATCTCATTGATAATTTTCAGTTGTAAAGTGTCTGATACGTGTATTCACTCTATGAAAAACTGGAAATAGGTACGATGTGGCTCAGAAGACAGTGGACTTAATAAGATGCTGTAATTTGTCTGCATCAGATTTCAGCTGAATCAGGCAAACAATGCACTTCAATTTTTGTCTGTTTGGGCATGGTACAAGGAACACTGAAAGGATCCTGGCTTACTTCCTAAATAGTTGTCTGCAGCATTTTATGGTAACATGAAGAAACGTGACCTGCCCTCTGTTCAGGATATGACATGCATTTCATATTTCATATCACCTACATCAGACATGGATACAGTCCCTGTCTTTTGTGTTACAGCCGCATTCATCCGAGTGGTGGGATCAGAATTTGTACAGAAGTACCTTGGCGAGGGGCCCCGGATGGTTCGAGATGTCTTCCGATTAGCCAAAGAAAACTCACCAGCTATAATATTTATTGATGAGATCGATGCCATTGCCACGAAGCGTTTTGATGCACAGACGGGTGCCGACAGAGAGGTGCAGCGTATCTTGCTGGAGCTGCTGAACCAGATGGATGGCTTTGATCAGACCACAAATGTAAAGGTGATCATGGCTACCAACCGTGCAGACACACTTGATCCAGCTCTGCTTCGGCCTGGGCGATTGGACCGTAAGATTGAGTTCCCATTACCAGATCGACGACAGAAGAGGCTCGTATTTTCCACAATCACATCAAAGATGAACCTCAGTGAAGAAGTTGATCTAGAGGATTATGTGGCACGTCCTGATCGCATCTCTGGTGCAGATATCAATGCCATCTGTCAGGAGGTGGGTAGTGTAATCTGTAGTTACATGCTTAGCAAGGTGAACATATTCTGTGAATGGAGAAAATCACAAGGGCCACTAACTTACCTTTTGTATGGCTATGTTTTCTTGAAATGTGTAAGACTGGTAAGTGCAGGCATGTCAAATTTGAGGCATCTCAGCTGCTGTGGTTGTAGTTGCTCCTCTTCCATGTGGAAGAAGGAATTGTAATCTAGTAGTGTGAGGCTGGTTTCCATATTTTAATTTGAAGGGGAGTTAGTATTGAAAAAGGAAGCATTCAATCAGCTGAACTGTTCATGTGAACCACTTCAATAATGCAACACTTTGCCAGTAAAGGTTAAGTACCTGAAATGTTTCTGTAAAAAATAATATTGGCATTAACCCTTTGACTGCCAGGCTGCCTGCTATAAATGCTGAGGCTGCCTGAGGGAGATGCAGTTGCACAAAGAAACATGCCATATTTCCTCAAAACTGTTTGTCATTTAAACATCAGTATATCATATTCGATGCCATCTATTGACAGGTATGGTGTATTAATTGATTAGCAGTGATATTTTTTTTTTTCTTTGGCACTACAGCCCCAGTGGGCCTAGGCCTACCTCCGTGACCTTCTCCGTTCACTTCGGTTTTTCTAGATCTAAGACATTCGGTAGGACTCCTTAGGCGGGTGATCAGCTCGTCGCAAGGCCTCTACCTGTACACAAACAGAAAAACGCACACACACAAACTAAACATCCATGCCCTGAGTGGGATTCGAACCCATGATCCCGGTTTCCAAGCAAGCGAAGACAGTACATGCCTTAGACCGCTCGGCTACTGTGACGGACCGACACTTTTCTATAGCCTTGGCAATTTTAATGCACATACACTGAACTCCACTAATTGATATGTGGGGTGCATGGGTGCACAAGTGTGATCACTCTCTGTTATATACCTACATTTCAAGTCTTCGCCATGCATTAAACTTTTATGGAAGCCATATGCCAAATATTTGTTTTCAAATGATTCAAAATGTTACCCTCTCTAGGAGATTTTAATTTTTTTGGTACACGAGAAGGTCACAGAAAGAAATCACTACTTCAGTGAATGTTGGAACATTAGTATTGCCATGTGGTACTGACTGCACATGAGATTTGGAATGGTAACATGATCTATTGCATCAGGTAAACTGCTGCTTGCCCTCACCAGCACAGTTATACCTTTTGTTTTGAGTCTGAGGGCTAATGGCCATATTTTACTGCTGCGCAGCTTTGGGAGTCATGAAACTCCTTGGATTTATTGGTCACTGAATTGTCTTCTTTGCCAATGAGTACACAGTATACAAATATTTACTCTTATTTCACAGTCTGCTATATCACTCTTGCTTGGTTAAGATAACATGAACTTCTAGTGTGTTCTGTCATGGCTGACTCTCTTGTCACAAACACATTACTAGGCTGTGGGTTCATAGAGTGGGAACTCCTCTGTCAGCTCACAGCACTCTGTATATTGCTTTGATGTGAACTAATGAGAAGACACTGCCCCCCTCAGTTCCTTGCCTTTTGTGCATGTATGTTGCTGTCTGGAATTGGAGCTTGATGTTACCTAGCAATATTGCACCTCTGCAACATTTCTCTGATCCCAGGATTCTGACTTTTAGGCATCATGTCATGTTACTCCCTCCTTAACACATCATGGACCAGCGATTTAAATATTTAAATCACCCTGGGGACCGGCATTATTAAACCTACTATCCTAATGTGTGCACTGTTCACTTTAAAAATTAATATAAAATCTCCTGATTAATTTTATGAACTAAAATTTTTGGAGAACACTTACCAGTGCTCCTAGAAGTGTTTGAGAGTGTGATATTTCTGAAAACATTCCTCTTTGTGAAGTGGCTTCACACAGAATTTGCAATGTAGACGGTCATACTCCTTTTTTTTGTGAACTGTGCAAACACAGCATTGCCTAGAAAGATGCTTCCCCTTGGAATGTTCAATCTTCACAGTTTTCACGAGGGTATGTTTCTGCATATCACCCGAGAGTCACCCTGGGGGGTCCACGTGAGGCCTGCATGGGGTGGGAGTTGATGGGGCCATTTGCCCCAAGTCTGTGTCTGACTCTGGTTCTGCCGCCACCATCTGGTCTGTAGCCCAGGCCTTTGTCACATTCATCAGAAATGCTTTGTATTTCAATTTTGAATCAGGGTTTAGATTTTGTGATTTTTTTTTTGCTGTCCCCCGCAATCTTACTACCCGCATTTCCGTCGCAGCTACTGTCACTTTTACTGTCTGTGGCCACAATTCTTTGTTCTCCCCTGTCACTGCCACTGAGTCACCGTCACTATGCATCTCATAGGCTAGCTCATCGGAGAAGAATTCATCCTTGATCCATATTCCCCTACTAACTTACTGGCTGTTACATACAGCTTGAAGACCGAAAATTCCTTTGGAATGGGTTAAAATACCAGTGAGGTCATGTTACTGAATACTAAGCAAACATTCCAGAGGTTTATTGCTCAGTAGCCATGCAGCTGTGTGGCAAAAGAGCAAGGTATAGTTTGTTGCAACCTAACGTGTCCTAAAATCATTATATCATGCGACCGGTCCACCACGTTTAAAAGCGAAAAGCATGATATCGTGCGACCGGCCCTTTATGTCTTATGGTTGCTTGTCCTGAGTAGCCCATATGCACAGTCATTTACTCCACTCCAAGGGGACCTCCCTTTTTTGTATGTGACTGTCCTCGTGAATGGTGCCACAGTGCCATACTGCCCCCAGCTGCATATTTATGATGCATCTGCATACAGAATTTGACATACTCAGCTCCATTGGTTCATTAGTTATTAGCATTAAACTGAAGGATATTGTGCAGATACCATATTGTTTTATATTTTACAAAAACAGTATCTTAAAAGTTGCACATTTTTCAAAGATCTGTTGAAACAAAAATTTTCAGAATTGCTTCCTACCCTACAAGTTGTGGCAGCTGCCATTCTGGTATTAATGATGTCAGGTTATTAAATATCACATAGGTTGTATGTTGTTCATATAGTTTCATGAAAAGTCAGCAGTTCATTAAAAAGTTATTAAGGTGGGACAGGTGTGCACAGAGCAGCTTAACAGTTGTAACATATCCTTAGTTATGTGTTTCAGTAAATATGCAACAATTATAGCATTATTTGGAGGCACTATAATATGGTGCATCTGCGGCAGTCCCAGGCTGACTGGGGGGAGGGGGTTACATACATGAAAAGCACTGCAGTTGTCAGTTCCTTATGGGGAATGGGAATTAAGGGAACTGAGTCTGCTGTCAACACTTGTCAGAGCCTGTGTCAGTTGCCTGCTCCTTCACTAGGGGCAAAAAATATGAAATGGCTTGAAATACAGTGTGTGCCAAAATATACAGTACTGAAACTCGCACATCTCGAACACATGTGTGTTTGTTGACGGGGCATAGCTCCAGCCGCAGGTGTTCCCAGTAGTGAAAAGGAAGTTGTGTTCTGCAGTTGTTGGAAATGGGTCTCTCAATGGAGGAAAAAGTATTCATAGTTGAGTATTATTTCTGCTCATATGGAAGTGGTTGCCAGACAAGTCGCTTCCTTGGTTTTGAGCTGCCAGATGTTATCGTCCAGAAACCGCTACATAGGACATGTGTGACGATATGGTGTGCTGTCTCAGCACACGGTATATTAGGCCCATATTTAATTGAGGATGAGGAAGGCAATGCTCTTATTGTCACCCAAGAACTCTACAGGGACATGGTGATTGGACAATTTCTTCAGGATTCGAGAAGGTTCTGTTGTGCATGGGGTCTTCACATGAATAGACAGTGGTATTAACAGGACGTCTTTTCATTTCAGTACCGTAGATTTTGGCACATACCGTATAAGTAGTGTCACGAAAAGACACTCTAAATTTATTAAGCTGGAAGCTAGAAACTGGTTTCAGATGCTTAAACCCCAACAAAGATGATCCTTTGATGTTGTCAGTCTGTCCACAAATTATACACCATGGACATATAAGATCAAATACCATGATTGGCAGAAGGGGATGCAAGTTGAAAAACACAGATACTTGAAATTCGTGGCTGGTGGGGGATTGCTGTACATGAGAGACACACTCACTAAACTGTTGGATGTTCTCATTGTTCCAGGCTGGAATGCATGCAGTCCGTGAAAACCGATACATCGTCCTTGCAAAGGACTTTGAAAAGGGTTATAAGAATAATATCAAGAAAGATGAGTCAGAACATGAGTTCTACAAGTGAAGTGTTCTAATGTTGTCAAAGAGATGGACCTGCTCTGTGTTGCAGGATCAGAAACAGTCTCACCCAGCAGAACTAACTTATTCATTTGGATTTAAAATAAAAATTTTTACACTAAACCTCTCACTTCATTTCATGCTTTAGAATTCTGAGTGATTGGTCTTTAGAATGGATAATTTCCATGTTCTTTGTTTCTTTGTATACATGAGCAGAATACTCTGATCATCTTTGAGGATGCATCATCAGCATTAATATTATTTCACTCTAAAATATGGCATCGATTTGATGAAGGTTTGGTATTAATTTTTCAGCCTATAAACCAAGATCCCTGTGATACAGAAGATCTCATTGACACAGGAATTCTCTTGTGCAAGGTTGCTTACTCAAGTATGTTGCACCGTCAGAGATGTTTTAGACACACTTTAGTTCTAATGAGTCAGAAAGTTACTTCATCTGTGTTTGCATTTGGTTTTATGGGAAACATTTGATAAAAGGTTCTGAGGTGTTTGGAATTCTGTTCACTGGTGACAGCAATGCAGACACAGTGTTTACTCTTCTACATGTAACTGAAACAAAGATATAAATTGAAATGTCACAGTAATACCTCATTGCCTTTGTTTTCTTTACCTGTATTTTTCTGGCTAAAAAGCTGTTATATAAATGATACTAAAATTTGTTACCCAAATTCATTTAGGTTATCACTTTACATTGACCTCCAAGTTTGAACGTTAAGGAAAAATGCAGTTCTGAAGCTACGTTAATGTATTGCTGTTTGGAGGCATTCTTTACTTCCCTGACTGATTATACATGTCATATTCTTGTTGTCAACAGAAACTTGGGAGGAATGCACCCTGTTGATGCAGCAGTGACTGAATAATTGATCCTTACAGTTTCTCATGCATGACTGATCTACATATCTGATCACTATATTTTGATTAGTGTTTATTATCTGCTCAGTTGGTGGCATCATATTATGTGACATGTGTTCCCAATGATACGGGTTTGACAATAGCAGTAACACACTAGCTGGGACACTAGCTATCTTGACAGGATGTCAGACTTTTTTCTCAGACCCCCCCAGGCAAGTGATAGGATAGTACCTTGATTAAGCCCTGATTACTTCGTTTCCAATTCAGTCATTCGCCTGATGCACAGCCATTCACTGCTGTATAATTTGCCAGCAGACCCCTTCACAAAAGGAAAACATAGTTCTATGGCTGTTATAGTTCACAGTGTCCATTGCATTTCAGTAGGGAGATGGATTGATGTAAATGAAGTGTTCATATTTTACAGGGACTGGTGAGACTTTCTCCCAGAGGATACAATTGAAGTGATATTGAACTTTGTTCAAAAACCAACATAACGTAGTGAGAACCTCTGCAGTGCAAGAGATCAGGTTGCAGAATTATTTATTGCTATCCTTTTGAACAGATGGTTACGGGGGGGGGGGCGGAGTACTCATAAGCCAGTGCTATGATCGCTATGATAGAATACCTTCTTACCGACCGTGCTCTCGGCACTGGCGGCGGCGATTTTGTGTCAGTACAGTTACATCTGAATATGGATGACAGTAGTAATACTCTTGTGACGTCACGGCGGCCATGTTGCCCGCCAGTAACCTTGAGTTGTATGTGCCAGTAGGCGGGGGCAAGGACGCCAAGAGGAAGAAATTGTAAAATCGGTAGAAATAGTGGGAATGAAAGTGTCGGTTGTTTCAAATGTAGGAGGCATGTTATCATGTGAATTGAGGTTGCTTGCTTTTGCGTAACAAATTTCAATAAACTTTTATTTATGTTTGATGTTAGAATAATATTTAACCATTTGTTCAGACTGTTGATGACTTCTCGTTTTCACCTCTTTAAAATGAAACTCATGGAATAATTTAAATATACAACACACACGTGAACATGTTAGCTATATGTGTGAATTTACGAACTTTAGCGACACATCTTTTAGTGCATAATGCAAGGCATATAGGTATAAAATGGGTGACTCTATTGCCAAAAAGATGTAGTTTTGTTTGCACGAGAATTTTGTCAGTGTACCGGCTTGAGGAGTGTGATAATTACAGTACTTTAAGTTTAACAATAAGCCAGCGACAGAATTGTAAATTTCCTCATAATTCAGATGTTTTGTTCCTACATTATAATGCTCGCAGTAATTCTTCAAAGTCAGATTGTTGTCAAGTGGGAATCGACAGAAGAGCAGGAAAACTTGCAGCAGCGTTTGTTAATAATTCAGCTTCAGCTCTACAGCCTTACATGAAATTGATGAGGATTGACAAACCAATAGGTAAACCCTTTTGAAGTACTGATTGATGTGCCTGGTTGAAGTCCCAAGTTCTTTATTAAATTAGTAACAGGGCTGATGAATAATGAACTGCTGTGTTTTCTGTTTGTAATGTTATGGGATGAAAATGGGTGGAAGAGTGGATGACCTTCAGCCTTCGAACATTTGAAAGAACACTTCTAAAATAACAAAACCAGATAAACTGCCCTTTCTTTCTAAAAAAAGATGTTTTCTGATACTATCATGAGAGTTTAATCTCATCTTTGAAGCATAAAATTCATGGCAGTTGATCACCATTGGACAAATTTGTTAGTATGCATACCAGCTGAAAAAAATCACTGATTTTAAATGTTTAGTTCTTACCATGATCATTCTATTATTGGGGTATGTGTTAGCATAGTTGGTTGAGGTACTATGCTACAAGCTGTAGCTGTAAGGTCACGGGTTTGATTCCTGATAAGATTGTTGGATTTTTCATTTAACCTAATCCTTCCAGCCTCACTGCGATCCTGGGGTTGACTCAGCCTCTAACAGAAATGAATACCAGGAATATTCTTGGAAGTAAAGGGCATCCAGCGTGTAAGGCTGACAACCTTACTGCCATCTGTGAGCCGATTGTCTAGATAATGTGGTTTTCTTGATGTCTAATAATCCTATGGGCCTCCATGGCCTGTTACAGGCATCGCTTTACCTTTACCAATCTGTGATTAATTTTCTGCCAGAAAACTCCATAACCTTCAGTAGAGTTTTACAGAATTGGAACATTCATGTAATATCCAAGTTGTAATATATTTCAACATTTTGTTTCAGTAATTAGTGTTATGTTATTTAACATTTGCACACCCACCAAACATTAATAAATGCTGCAGAAAAGGATGAAATTTGATATAAATAATGAAAGCCTGTTGTGCGTATCACTGCTTATATTTTGCATAACTCAAAATCTGTGTAGAGGAGAACCATGCATGCAGTTGTCTTTCATACTTTTCAGAGAAATCTTGAAAATTAGATTGGTAGATGACAAGCTGTGTTTTGAAATTTCCCATAAAGTTACTATATTTTAATATTGAAATTGTGTAATGAAAATACTTTATATGTTTTCTTTTTGTGCAAGATACGATACTGAGGGTGTTTGAGAGCAGGGTGTTGAGGAGAATATTTGAACCAAAGAGGGATGAAGTGACAGGAGGTTGGAGAAAACTGCATAATGAGAAGCTTCATAACTTATACTCTTCTCCACGTATAATTAGAATTATCAAGTCAAGGAGGATGAGATGGGCAGGATGTGTAGCATGAATGGGGTGAAGCAGAATGTATATAGGATATTGGTGGGAAAACCAGAAGGAAAGAGACCATTGGGAAGACCAAGACGGAGGTGGGTGGACAATATTAAATAGATCTTAGAGAGATAGGATGGGATGGTATGGACTTGATTGATCTGGCTCAGGATAGGGACCAGTGGAGAGCTCTTGGGAACACGGTAATGAACCTTTGGGTTCCATAAAATGCTGGGAAATTCTTGAGTAGCTGCGGAATTGGTGGCTCCTCAAGAAGGGCTCAGCACCGTGAGTGAGTGAGTGAGTGAGAGAGGGTAAGCATGTGAAATTTGGTATTCTGGTGATTGTAGTTTTGGTTCAGAAGTGCCAACAAAGTGATTGTGTAAAGGTCTGAGTTGTTATTGTAAAAGTAAACCAAATCCAGCCTTTACAGGATTCATCTTTGCCTGAATGCTTATGAGGGTGGTTGTGGCCATGTGTACGGGAATGTTGCAGGTTCTTGGCTGCTGTTTTGGCCATGTGGTTGGAGTATAGCATTGAGTGCATTGCCAGGAGCTCTGCCAGATCTCAAGATGTTGGGGCTCTTTGGTCTGGGAGCATTCATCATGAGGGGTGCTGGGTGCACTATAAATGACATGTGGGATAGAGACATTGATAAGAAGGTCAGTTGTACAGAAGTATCATGGGCCATATCGAGCTGACACGAGGAAATCCGATTGTCTGTCACGAGGCAGCAAAACTTCCAGTAGCTGGCTACTGCTCCTCACAGCATGTCTGCACACTAGTCAGCTTTACTTTTCAGATTATCATATTGAAATTTGATGTAATGACCCTGATTTTATGCAAATTCAGGTTACAGTGACAAAGATTGGTTGGGTCAGGCTATGCATATCAGAACTACTACTCTTCCAGTGACCTGTCAAGGGAGGTTGGTCCATGTCTTGACAGGTAGGGACTGAATGAGGGCTCAAGTTTTCCTTTTCTTCCCTTAACATTCTGCCATTTTTGTATGTCATCTTTTCCATTCTACTGTTTCTGTTTATTTTTAACCAAAAAATAATGTCTGAAGGTTGAGGTGCATAAAATATGCAAATACAATAAAGAAAATGATGTGTACAAAGTGGGGGATCCATATTCAGTAACTGTGCCTTACATTTAATTTGAATACCATACTGTTGTTTGATTTGAGCAGGTATCTCGAACAAAAGACCGACCTCTAGTCAGTGGTGTCCTTTCTCAGCTTGAGGCTTTGGTGTTTCTTTCTGGTCAGCTGGGTCTTGGATTGCTCGTGCTTCTCCAGTTAAATTGGTACAGCATTCTTCTCGGAGCCAGTTCCTTAGGTATGTGTAGTCACAATTAAATAGCCATCATGGTGCACTTCTGCAGACTCTGGTGACACTTGGATTATGTGATTCAGCAGTTCTGCATGAAGCAGTAATTGGAATTCAGGTTATTTTGTGTTTGTAATAAATGTTTTACTGGGGCAGTGCTTTGTTTGTTTGCTTCACCCTTCCTAAAAAAATAGAAGAAAACCTTGTACAGGTATTGAGCTGTATTGTAATTGATACCTTGTGTGATTTTACTTTGTTTTTAGGTCTAGTCATAATTTACCCTCTTATGAAGAGGGTCACTCATTGGCCACAACTTATATTAGGAATGACATTCAACTGGGGAATTCTTCTCGGTTGGTCTGCTGTCAATGGTTCCTGCAATTGGCCCATTTGCCTGCCACTCTATGCAGCTGGAATTTGCTGGACAATAGTCTATGACACAATCTATGCGCATCAAGTGAGTGTAATCAGGATGGACAGAAGTGTCTGCACACTCTCAGTGATTTGGTTACATTCCATGCATGCTATGTCCACTTCATTTTAGGTTTAGTTAGAAGGGCACGCTGTAAATGTTTGGTGACACATAATGGCTGAAATTCCTATACTTAAATCATAAATGAAAAGCAGCACAGAAGACTGGAGCCAGACAGCTCAGTCAGTATAGGGACTAGGTTACAGGCTGGACAACAAGAGAATTGGGGTTGCAAGTCTTCTTTTTTCCACCTGTCCAGATTGGCTCTTGAACCCACCCAGTCTCTTGTCTCATGTGAACTGGGGGCTCTTTCTCTGGGGTTAAAGATTCTGACCACCTACCTAGACCTGGTGGTTATGAAATTCTCTCAGAAAAAGACTGCCATAGATCAACAACACAGGTGTGGTACACTGATATGCCAATGAGACCATACCGAGGTTTCTGTCCACTGCTGCCATGGCAAGCACACGGTGGTGAGTTCGCGAACTTTATTGTCAGACCTTGTATAGGAGGCTGATTGGGTCCCAGAGCTGATTGGGACACTACAAATAGAGAAATCTAGCCATATATGGAATGGTAATATTTAAGAGGAAATTAAAGAATTAGGTTGTGACGGTGTGGGCTAGATTCACGTGGCTTTTGATAGGATCCAGTCCTGGGCTATGGTAAGCACGACTTAACATTCAGGTTCCATAAAGTGGGGAAGTTTCTTGAGCAGCTAAGAGACTGTTAGTTTCTGAAGGAGGACTGTGGTCTGTGGAATGAGTTAACAAATCTTGAACTGCAGGTATTGTAAAAATGGTTTGTAATCTTGCCATCTTTCAGGATAAGGTAGAAGATGTACTTCTTGGCATCAAGTCAACAGCGATTATGTTTGGAGAAAATACAAAATTATGGCTGTCAGGATTCACTTCCATGATGATTTCTGGCTTGGTTGTCACAGGAGTACAATGTGATCAAACGTGGCCATACTACGCATCTGTTGGATTTGTTGCCGCACATCTCAGCACTCAGGTAAGCCAGAGCCACTTCTTTGCTGCATATACAGTTGGATAACTCCGGCTCACTGACAGAAGTATAGAAGCCTTTGAAAGAACTTTATTCTGATGAGCCAGGATAATCCCGAGGTCTCAAAAGAGGAACTCTGTAGTTTCCAATTTAGTAATTTTTGGATGTGAAACCAAACACACTGTCTGGATTTGAGGTTCTTGCAGTGGTGAGTGTGAAGATTACGTGCCCTCTGGGTTATAATGCCATGCAGTCTGAATAAAGCTTGATGCTTCTCAGAAATACTGCACTTTTTCCAGACCACACAGCATTACGACTCTTCAGAAGACAGTATTCTTTCGGAAAATATGGAGAAAGTGTCAGACTTAATGGCATGCATTAAAAGATCCCAATTGGAGCACCATTTGTAGTCCTGCAGACATCTAAAAAAATAGTTCAGTTTCTGTCAAAGTACACTGAAGCATGTCTTGTGTGACTGTAACTACAGATGTGATGCTTTTGTGTCATAGATGTTTCTTGGCATTGTCAGTTTTCTTTCATGTATTCACCACTTTGGGGGTTCAGTTATTGGTCCACATATCCTGGCCCATTGATTAGGAAACCTAGCATTCAGAGGACAGCAAACCCAAAGACTGAAATGAGGCAGGGCTCCATGTTTCTGGAAAATGATATCAGTTGCATTTCTGCAATTCATGTTATCCATTTCTGGGCAACAAACACTTCTTAACATTAAATATATGTTTCTGATAATGATATATTCTGCAAAATACGAAATTGTCATGCAGTAGATCGTGCTGTACATTCACTTTTGGAGTGTCATGCATATACTCAAGAAATTAGTACTGCTTTTCTACTCTAGAAATTCAACAGCTGTATGGGATCAAGTGATATTAAGAAATGATGGATCATCTGTAAAATGGACTTATCATAAGTAAATCTTCATTGGCATCTGTTTCTTGAAACACAAAATGTTTTAATTTGACTTGATTCAGGTGATCAGGAAGTTGAATTTTGTAACCCAGTTTAATTCTTGTGTTCCGTGTAATCTCATGCACTTGAGCCACACATGTAGGTGGATGGGTTTGCTATACCAGATAGAGACTGAAATGAGGAATAGATTTCCTTGGGCTCTATACACACAATAGCCTGATATATGCCACACATCATGTGGCTGTGCTGGTGCTATCTGCTTTATAGTGTTTCCTGTTTCTTTAAATGAATAGACCCATTGACATAATGAAGTCTGAGGTTGTTCTGTGTTATTTACATTGAAAATTAAATTTAACAGTGGACTTGAACTCATACTATGTGATGGTGACATGTATAGACTGTTGTGGGAATGTAATACTGCCATTAGTGTGATGTGTTGTGTATATGTGTGTGCAAACTAAAATTGGTGTATTGTTAAACATCACATAAAAATTCCATGACTTATGGAACCAAAAATAAACAAGATATTAAATGTTAAAACTATATTGTAAAGTTTTGATGACTTTGTGCCTTCACATCAAGGGTTTTCTAAATCAGGATGCACTTTTGAACAGTAATATCCCCAGAATGACTAGATATATAAACAAGGTTCAGGGGGTACTGTATTGGTAGATAATGATAATTTTCCATTCATAAGATTATTAGTTTCCTTGTCTGTGTATAGTCCTGACAACAGCTGTAAAGGGGAAATTTTTAGTACCTTTGCTGGAAGAAACTGCTAATCTGTTTGGGGCAGGTGCCATCTGTTAGCTGCTACTCTGCTACATTTTGTAGAGGTGAGAGCCTACCTTGACACAACCTTCCCTGTTGGATTGGTTGAATGGCACCCTGGCCCTTCAGTCACATGATATGACATTGGAATTCTTTCCTATGTGTCTACATTCCTCTCCTCCACCTGGTACCACTACCCCTGATGATGATGATGATTTTTCTAGCGGTTCTCACTGTTAACTTTGACACACTCATTTGTGTGCGTGAGAACTGTCATGCAAATGGGGCGGTGTCTGTGTTATGTGAGGACACAACATAGAGCATTTGTGTCCCTGGAAACTGAATAGAAAAATATCTGTTCATTCCAAGACAGTTTCATGTGCATAGCCCTGCTTATATTGGAGAAATGATTGTTAAAAATTGTGACCTATTTAGACAGATGATGTATGTCATCCATTCCCCCTATGTCCATCCCTCTTAATTGTGCCATCTCATCTGACACTCAGCAGTTGAGAGCCAAATGGTAGATAGAGAAAAACAACAGAAAACCACAGTGAAGATGGCCAGTGTTCCAGCCAAGATTTGAACCCCACTCCTCCTGAACACAGTCTTAGTTGATAACACTATGCCAGCCCATTCATTCGGATGTTGTCATACTGAAAATTATTGTTCCATAATGACAGGGAACTTTTGTGCATGGTGACTGTAGCCTGTACCAAGGCATTCATGTGGCAAGAAACAGTTATATCAATTTTTGATGCCGTAATAAGATGCAATCATGAGATAAAAATATGGAGTTCCCTCTCTCTTTAAGACTATCCATTAAGAGGGAAATAATTGTATTTTTTAGTAAATAAATTTTTTATGTTTCTCTTTTGTTTTCAGCTGTATACTCTGAACATCAACAACCCAGTAGACTGTTCCATGACGTTTGTTTCAAATCGAAATGTAGGTTTGCTTCTCTTTGTAGGAATAGTAATGGGAAATTTGTTCAAGAGTAAGGAAGAAAACAATGATGAAAGCAAGAAAATTGACTTCAACAGATAGCTAAAGCCATAAGCTATATCTGTTTTTGATAGTACAAAAATATGTAAAGATGTCTGTACATTCCTGCCCAAATGAAGTGTGAAGAAATACCTAACATGTTTGTAACTGTGCTAATGCTTACTGTGCATTACTTTACTGCCTTGTTATGTCCTCATGTGCACAAAACTATTTTAACTCAAATTAGGCCAAATTACACATGTGGAATGATGTTTCTGATGGAAATTATAAAAAGATAACTGTAACATGTTAGTGACTAGAGTCAGGGTTTGGATTGGTAATAGGGTTTATTTGACTCTTAAAACTTGTAACTACAACTAATTATAGCGCTATCACTAATTCACTACAGCACGCACTAAATCTTCTCAGTCTGCCGTCTCTTCACCATTCGCTGCTTGGTAATAGCTCCCAGTGCTGTAGATTTCTCAGCTCACGTTTTTACTAGCTACTGACTAATAGCTCCTCATGGCCACAACTGGTCATTGACTGTCTAGCCTTGTCTACCCACCACTGGCTACCACCCGATATTGCTGGCTAACACTTGCTTCTGATTCAGCTGCTTGTCTCTCACAAAGCCTGAATTGGCTCTCTTTATATAGCCTCTGCATGGATCCAACAGAGAACACCACCTCCAGCAGTTCGTCTTTTGTTGTATGTGTATCTGTTGTGGCAGTCATGTGATCTAGTTATTGTCAAAATGTGTTTACACACCCATTGCCTAGCAATGGACGTCTTATCTGGTTCTACAGCACTGGCTTTGAGCAGATATGTCATATTACTCCTTCCTTAAGGCTGTTCATGCCATCTAGCCTGTAGATATACTGTCCTTCCTTCTTTCAGTCGGTGGGGACAAAACTTCTGAGAGTGGCCAATGCTTCTACAGCACCAGTACTTAATCTCCCTGTAGTTTCTTCTTCTGTTTGGGAGGAGGCCGACTCCTCCACAATGTCCAGACATTCATTCTTAGCAGTCTAATGTAAGACCCGACTATTCGATTTGCGATCTCCAACCCAAGTGTCTGTCTGAGGACCTCTTTGACAATTCTCTTGCTTCTAAGACAACTGCTGTCTTATATTTAGCCCTCTTATGCCATTGCTGCTTTCAGTGCATGTCTGTTGTCTCTACTTGAATGTCAGTCCTCTAGGGGTTCCTTGTACAAATCTGCTTGGGTCCACCTTTTCAGTGGGTTTTGCTATCCTACGGTCTGTTGCTGGTCCCCAGATTCGTCTTCCAGTGATCAGTAGTCTCCAATGTGGCTTTTTTGTTAGGGGCTTCCTGTTGCCCTGCTGTGACTCTTATTGCTTCTGGATGTGCCTCCTCCTCCAGACAGGCAGGCCTTCATGTTTTGGGTTGGTATCCATCAGGGCTTCCAGCCTTAATCTTGGCCATCATCTTTTGCTGACCGAACTTTATCATGGTCTCCATCTTTTCATGATGGGTCTTAACTTCTTTTTGGTTATGTACCATCTTGGACAGCAGGCATTCCATTTCTGCAATATGGCAATAAAGCTATCCAATGCAGGCTTCAATCCAGTAATCCAACTCTGACATCAGTTGTCATGTATTTAGTGACTAGAGACAGTGTTTGAATTTATTGAACTCTTACACAACTTGTGACTACACTTTACAAATCTCTCCAGGAGGCACACTATTGTTTCCAGTTATCTGTGGGTCCACTAGGCATATCATCGTAATGGCTTCCAAGATTGGGGATTCCTTGGCCTCCCACACCTTCACCAGGGGCTGACCATCTCACAACAACCACAAACTTGGATTGGTTTTCCTTATATAGCCTCTGCACAAGCCACATAGAACACATTGCCTCCAACAGTTCTAACGTTATATCTGTTGCTGTACAAGCATGTTTAACAAGCCATTCCCTAGCACTGACCATCTCTTCTGGCTCCACAATTCGAGCTTTGAGTGGACATGTCACATTGCTCCTTCCTGAGTAGCCTGTAGACGTTCTGTCCTTTCTCCTTTTGGTTGGTGCAGACAAAATTTCCAAGAGTGGCTGGTGCTCCTCCAGCTCCAAAACTTCGGCTGTCTGTAGTCTCTTCTTCTGATTGGAAGGAGGCCGGCTGCTACACAGTGTTCTGTTACTTGCATTCTGGGGTCTGATGGAAGACCCAACTATTTCCTTTGTGATATCGACCCCTACGATCTGTCTGAGGGCCTCATTGACAGCTTGGACTTCATTTGTTACAGTGTTGGTTAGGAACTGACTGTTTCATTTTTTGGACTGTATGGAAATATTTATCATTGTTTGCAAGTACCCAAGGTTGACCTGCTCCATAATGTTCTATGGATCTGTGGGAACTGCCCACATCCAAGCAAGTGTGACAACGCGAGCTTCAATGCTTAGCAATGACGAGTAAACAGCGGTTGCTAGGCCAAGCCTACAACAATACGGACAGTGACATGTTTTCTATATGTCTGACTCTAGGTTACATTACAAGATACATGGTTACCAGAGCATACCAAACTACCATTTTCATTATTACTATTGGTACCATTGTCACTGGCATTTACAGTGAGAGTGGCTGGAACAAAACTGCTTTCAGATGGTTGTGTCGTTTCTACGCTGGTAGCAGCTCTTGGGCTTACAGGTAATTTACCCATCGAGTTGCTAATAGCCGACTTAAGCTCATCAAAATCATGCTTATTCGGAGATTTTTCCTTTTCTACCACATGCAGAACTTTTTCCAGACGCTCCCCTTGCCTTTTTTTTTTTTAAGATTTCTTCATTTTTAGCAAAATTATCTTTAACAGCATTTATTTCTTCTAACAGCTCTGCAATTTGCTCTGTTACCTGTTCCTTGTTCTGTATAATTTTACCTGTCAATTCATCTGCTATATGGCTAGTGTCCTTGGCTTGCTGACCTAATTTATCATCTAACTCAGTACTCATTACTTGGAGATTTCTCTTAACAGCTACAAGTTCTGATTCCGTGTTATCCTTGACCTGTCTTGGAAGATGAGAAAATTTGTCTGTTTCTGATCTGAGGTTTTCTGTAAGTTCCTGCCTTAATTTCTGAATTTCCAGCCTAATATCTTCTTTTACCTTACTGTTGTGCGCTGAGCAACATCTCTCTGGTAGCTCCTAAAAGTCACAGACTGTATTTAAACACCTCTTAATTTAACTTAATGTACAGCAACCAGTTTCCACTTGCATGCTTCCTTTGTGCCGCCAACACACACGCTTCCCCACGCTCACTCCTAGCAACTGTCCTGCTGCTCCCTGGCGAGCACAGGCACCACCATGCCACAACCCGAGAGGTGCCGTCCTCAAGCGGCCACAGCTCCAATTACTTAGAATGGCTGCACTCAACAAGCCACCAACCTAATTTGAGCTACAAATTACAGTTAATTAAGCAACAAGTCTCTACACAAATGAACACATCAGGTTATTCCCTGTTCACCCAGACAGTCCTCATCACTCACATGATGTGTGTTATGTTATTTATGCTCTTCTTCCACCTCGACGTCACCTGGTGATGTTGGAATAGCTAGCTGTGGAGTGACGGAGATGATTCTTCAGGATAATTCTTCTTCTGGCGTGGATAAGTAAAGAAATCTAAGTTTCTTTAACTGCTGGTATATTTATTCACAACTTCCACCAAAATCCAAAGACCAAGTGGTAGAAAATACAGACAAAGGATGAAACTGAACTGCGATGAAACAGAGCTTCGCCCTCTGAGAGTCGAGAGTAAGATCTGAATATGGTGTACCCACGCCTGGCCCTTCTTATAGGATTAATCTGGGCGTTGGCTAAAAGGAATGCACATGTGGCTTCCACTGGTGAAACTCTAACTTTGACATTGAACAGAGTTCTCAGCGCATCAGCGTGAGAAGAAACGCATCTTTTAGAAAGTTTGTTTATCGATCCCAGATTAATCTTATAGCCCACTTAGAGAGAGAATATACTCTTTACATTCATGGTCTCACTGCTCCAAGTGGTGTGATTTCATCATAGCAAGCTCTCGCACTCTCATCTAATGATTATTAGGTCCTGACAGATTTGTGGTAATGGACCATCTGCATTACTCAACTCTGTAACTAAAAGGTTTTATACAGAGAGCCTTCTGTTTGGTATCAATGATGGCTTTTTACATTTGGTTTCTTTTATACTTCTTAATACAGTTTCATATTAGTTTCTCTATATTACTACTTATACGGTTAACAATACATTTAAAATATTCAGTTATTCACTACTTTTAAGCAATTATTGTTCTTGGTACATTTCCTTCTTATATTTAGTATGTTTCCTTATAACACTCATTACACCCCCCTTCCTATTAAAAGTTTTTACCATGGGGTGAGAACTTTTATCTGAATATGTTCTTACTCCTTGTTCTTTTTGCTATGGAATCCAGGTCATCTTTTAACCTTAACTTTTCTTCCGTCTCCCTCTTGGGTTGGCTCGTACTTGGGCTTTCTAGTCCAGGTAGGGATTTTATGGAAACTGCGGGAGAGGTGTTTGTTTTTGCGTATTCTACTCTGGATCCATTATAATTGTAAATGCTAACACAACACTTTTCTTGTGTTTGTTTCCAACATTCCTTTGGGTGCCATTTGCCCCATAACCAAAAGAAACTGTTTCTACAACATTTACAGCAGCAACAGCTTAAGCAAATACATAAAATTGTTACAAAGATTACACCAAGTGTTGATCCCCATGATGTTGCCATCATGTACAGGTTTCGTTCATGTTTCGTTTCCTGATCCTTAATCATTAGTTGCACTTCATCTGCCCTCATACTTGCTACTCTTAGGTCATCTATATTTGACATTACATTGACCAAAGGGATTTGCAGAGGTAATTCTTCAAAATTTACTTTCTCTGGATCTTCGAAGCAACAGTCGAAGTCTATTGGTGCTGAAGGCACATAGTCACTTGTTAA